CGGCGAAGCGGCGCGGCGGGGCGCCCGGGCAGTTTATCTCCGGCGCCTCGAATGCGCAAAACTTGTGTTAGTCCGTCACCTCATAGACACCCTCAACATTCGATTCTTCCGTCCATGATTTCAGTTCCTCGTTCTGCGAGAAACATGAATCTTTCCTTCGAGCGCACGGGCGCCAAGGGGCGCAATGGTCGCGCGCGCGCCTCGTTCAAACGCATGGGGCAAGACCCCGCTGAACTGATCAACTCGCGCCAAAACGGCCCAGCCGCGCCCGCTCGCGTCTCGGGGCGATGGCCGAAGGCCTGGGTCGGATCGCCATCCGGAAAAATGCGCCAAGTCGGCCCCCCGATGGCTGCGAGGCGAGAATCGACAGGCAACCCCACGCGCGTCGGCAATTCATGCCAATCGCTGGGCGATCGCCTCATCCCCGCGGTCGCCCTTTTGCGCGAAATGCCAATTGCCGCCATCCACGCGCGGACGACTCTGATGCAGCAGCGCCGCGTCGATAACAAGTGCCCTGCGCGGACGGCCCGGGGAAGCCCATGGAAGGCCCCCTCCTGCATCTCCGACCTGGCGCAGGCGGCGGCAAGATCGAACGCCGAAAAGCGCGCCCCAGCACGCCGTGCATCCGCCTGCCATGGGTGCGTCGAGCCCTCTCATATAACTGTCCATGGCGATGCTGTCAGCAGCGCGTCTCCCCGCGGAAATAGCAAGGTCGCCCTGACTTCCCGGCTTTTATTCGACAGGTGCCCTGCAACTGCGCGCGTCTCATCCATGCGCTCCTCCAAGTCCACGATAAACCCTGTCTGTTGGCGTCTGGAAGGCAGCGGGATCAACGGTCCATGCCCCTTCTGTCACGGGGGAAGGGGCTGGCCCGCGCTCGGAAAAGCTGTCAGCAGACGAGCGGTGAGCATCGCTGAGCCATTTGCACATAGCACGACCTGCCATTGTTTCACTGTTATCAGTGCCCCATTGGATCGAGGCATGCAATGGCGGCGATCCGCCCAGAGATGCGCCCGTCTAAGTGAGCCATCAAGCCCGACGCAGAAACGCCCGCTGCACTTCACTTTCGAAGCACACGCATGCATGTCATGTCCAGCGAAGGGGCGTGCGACCTTCCAAAAAAATGATATCTCGCCGGCAGTGGCGCCGCGCTGCAATGGGAACCCAAGCCGGCCGCGCCCTTCAATTTCTCTGACGGCAACGCGTCGACCAGTGGCAACAGCGACGCGCGGGTGACCCGCTTATACTCCGGGTGCTTGGATGGAGCGCGGGGATTAGGCCCCTTCGATCCATTCGCCCATATCGATCTCTCCCACTGACCGGGGCCTCTCGGCCTCGGGTCGAAAATGATAAGCAGCTCCGTCTGATCTGGCGAGAGGCCATCGGAAAGGAGCCAGTCGGCGCCTCCATCGGGCAAGCAGTCGCGGGGCCCGCTCCCGCGCGAGCGGGGGCCCCGCGCGGGAGCGCCGCTATCGCCCGAAGGCCCCCTGGGTGGCGAGGGGCGGTCGCCCCCGGAAAGCGTCGCATCGCCTCCGCCCCCGCCCGGGAGGATGCTGCGGGCCGGCCTGTCGCCCCCCAGCGGGGGGGCAGCCGCGGGCGCGTCCGCGCCCACTTCTTCCGGTCGATCTTTCGGCTCAAATGTCGCATGCGGCGAACTTCTGGGGGGCCTCGACCGACGACGAGCCGTCGCTGGAGCGCGCGCCAGAAGGCCCCTCCTTTCCTGGAACAGAACCACTGGAGCGAGACCGGGCGGGGCGGACCCCGCCCGACTGCGGGGCGCAGTTTCGTGGACTTGGGTTCGCGCTCTGGCGGCCGCGGGGGCCGCGTCTTTAGCCGCGGCGTCAGGTGCGAGCAGGCGGCCGAGAAATCGCAGGACAAAAAAACCCGCGCAGATCGCCGAGGGGGCGCCCCTCTCCGGCGAACTCATAGAGCACGCGCCCCCCGCGTCTTCCTCCGTGAGACGTTCGCCTTAACTGGCGCGCCTGGTTCAAATCAATGCGAGACGTCGCCCCCCGCTTGAGCGCGCCAAACTTGGCGGGCGAATCCCGCGAGAATGGTCGCGCCCCGTTCGTCCACTTGAAACGACGCTCACATTTTTCCCGCGCTCTGCGCCATTGCGGCATGGCGCGCCATCGCCCCTCTCGCTCAGAAGATCGCAGTCGAGCTCCTCCGTCGAGGGAGCGCGCGCGAAGTCTTGCCTTTCGTCTTCCGCGCTGTCCCGGCCCAGCTCGGCCCCAATGCGCGGACCCCTGGGCCCATGCTCGGCGCGGCAATGCCGCGGCGGGTGGGCCCGAGACTCCTCGAGCGCCGGGGGCCCGTCGATCGCGGGAACAGGCTCCACACCCGCCTCCCCGCTGCAGTTCATCAGCGCTTCCTTGCGCGGAAGACCGCAGTAAATCGCCGCCGAAGCAGCGCTGCCTCCCCCGCAATTCACCGCCATCTGCCAGGGTACCAAAGAACCAGCAGCCCGTCCAGCGCAAGCGTGCCCGGCTCCCGCCGCGTCTCATTACCCGACTCAATGCCCCTCCCGCTCCAGATCGATAGGTGACAGTGCGGGAGAAGCCCGTTCCTCCACCGCCTTCCTGTGATCCGGGCACGTAGGGTGAGCATCCATTTCGCTATAACACAGATCCTCGATCACAACAGGACCTTGACTCGGGACCCTCTTCTTAGTGATTCGCGGGTCATGGTGCCCCTGTGGGTGTGCGGAAGGCACCTGGCCACTATTCTGGGGACTGTCTTATTCTGGCATTCTCCCTTGGACCTCACCATCTGACTGATCCTGGACTGGACCTAGTTCAACAACCCAGTCGACAATTCCTCTATGGTCGCAGAAAAGACAAGGTCAAAGGGTCAATGAAGCACCCGTGTTGGACCACGCGAGGGTCTCGGGGCCGATTTCAAGGATTTTGGCGCTGCGCGGCCGCGCGCGTTGAAGGCGTCGGCGGTGGGCCGTAGCCCCACAGATAATGTGGCGTCGGGTGGCCGCTGTCCTGCCCGCCAATCTAAAGAAGTAGGTGGGCTCATGAAGTAGACCAGCGATAGCATAGATTGGGTTCGGCTCCGCCGAAATAGCCAATAACATCAGCGAATCATGTAGGTAATTCGAATAAAAAAGGCGTTTGAGGTAGATTGGGATCTGGAATATCCAAGAATACTCGTTCATAACGGCCACCGTGTAGGCTGTGGCGTTGGGCAGCTAACCACCTCCACGGGGTAGCGGCAGAAAAGAAGCCTGGACATTTACTACCTCCGCCACTGGCGGCTTGCGCTGGACCGGACGGCCTCGCAGCAGGCCCTGAGGTTCCGAGGGTCCCTCCCAGCGTTGGCCACAGCTGCGACTTGGTTCAGAGGTCGGATGCTGGAAGTAGGCGCGATCGAAGAACGCAGCGCTATCTACCGGCGATGCCCCGCCAATGCTGTCGAATCAGACTTTCGCCGCGCGGTGTTGTTCAGCGAACTGTGACCTCATGCTGCGCGTTGAGACAGCTGACCTTGGCTCGTGCCCGAGACTAATGCGAAGCTTGCCGTGCCTCCCAGCTAGAGGAACTTGGTGCCGTCGGGGTGGACAGAGCTTATGAAGGGGCCCTGGGACACACAAATAAATACACAAATAAAAGGATTCCCCATCTTTTCCCATGTTTTCTGTGTTTTTGTCTTCCTCCCCAGTTCCCATATGTCCCCATATTTTCGGAGGAATCGACGATTCATTGTGTCTGTGTGTTTTTCCCCTCCTCGGACGAGCATAATTATCGACGGGGAGCAGGCCCCGCGCTGTGGGAGACAGCGGGCCGGCGCCAAGAAAAAAACCGTGGGGGGCTGGAGACGGGTCGGGGCGATGCAGTTCCGGGACCCGCGCCTCCGTCGCTGTCCCTGCCGCCTCACGTGCGCACCCCGAGAAGAACCACGTCCGACATGTCGCGGGACTGGCTGGAGGCCGGCCAGGACGTGTGCAGACCATCGATCGGGCTGAAATGTGGGCGTCGGTCTGGTGGGTGGAGGTCTGCGCGGGCCCCGGGCGGTCCCTGCACTTCGTCACGGACTCGAGCTACAGTCTGGGCCCGACCGCGAGAAGCCGTCCACAAGAAACCAAACCCTGAGACCCCGGGACGTCCGTCGATCTTTGGTGTGGGAACGTCGCGCAGTCCATGGCAAAACCATCGAAACCCAAGAGACCCAGTGCACCCTGGAGGCAGGCAGGGTGTTTCTTGGCATGGGCCCTTCACTGCATGTCGCGAGAGGGGTCAGCAGACCCCGCGGGGAGCGCCCTCGCGCGAATCGGGATCGCTGGCACTAAAGTTGTGGGGGGCCCCCCGCAAGGTGCGGCTCCCCCGCATCCTAAGTGAGGCGCTGTCAGGGCGCAGCGGTGACCAAACTCACTTGATGCGTGACATGCAGTGAGGACCCGACCACAAAAAACCTTCCACCAGAAGCCCAACCCTGGAACCCAGGACTTCCTTTGATTTTTGGTGTGGGGACGTCACGTACTCCATAACAAAACCATGGAAAACCAAGAAACACAGGGCACCCTGGAGGCATGCAGGGTTTCTTGGCATGGGTTTGAACTGTATGCGTGACATAGAAAACACCGTGGTCAACACGTCCGCAACTGGCCCTCCGCACTCGCACCCGCCGCTCCCAATCCGCCGGCATCAACCCCGACCCGACATCCGCGAGAACTCGCCGCAGAGATCAAGCTCAGGAGGCGGAGCAAGCCTACTGCTGGAGAGATGAGTGCGGTGCAGAGCAGCTCTTCAGTCGCTCCCACACTCCTGTCGGCGTCTGACGTAACCTGAAAATGCCTCCGAGAACCTGCCCGACATCCAAGCCAGAAAGAACGCGTGGACTTCGCTGCAAAGGTTCTGGCCTTCTACCCCTCCTCCTCCTCCTGCTGTTTCTTCTGATGCAGGTCCAATCCAGTCCAGTTCTCCTTCTGATGCTCCTCCTCGTCATTTCCCGCTCTACTTCTGCCTGCAGGCACCCTCCCGATGAAGCCTCGCCTCGATCAAGTCAGAGGGCGTCATGTCCACCTCTTCAGCCTCCCGTGCAGGCGGCGCGAAGGCTGGAAGGATCGGAGATGAAACACGAGGGCAATACGGCGGGCTTCCTGCAAACCCAAGGTGTCGTGGAACCAGCGACCAAGAGCCAGCCAATAAAGGCACATTGGCTCGCAGGGCTGCCAGAGGGGCGGCGGAGGGGAGCAATGGCGTTGCGCACTGCGCTAATCCCAGACGCTGGAATTCTGGGTCTCTGCAAGACGCGCCCATAGCCCCAGATCGCCTCATGATGGTCCCAGACGGCCCCAACGCGGGCTGTGCCCTCAGCTTTTGAATCGAACCACTGCCTATGATCGCCAACTGTAAAACGAAGTACTAATGTGTGAAACAAGTCGGTTAGTCAGGGCACATCGCGAACACATAAATTGGGATTACGCCCGAAAACTCACTTCCACATTCGACGGCCGAAGATGGCCCAATCTCAGGACGGGCTTCGGGCAGCCCTCAACGGCGTTCCAGTAGTGGAGGAAGGCCCCTGAAGGCTCCCAAGATAACCCCAGGACGGCAGAGGACCTCTCAAGACGGTTTAAGACTGCCCCAAGTAAGGCCCCAAAGACTGTCCCGCTACTCATCTCAGACAGTCCCGACTTCCAAGCCTGCTCCAGCAGGGCTGGACCTAAACAGTGTTCTGGCAATTTCGTGGGCCGTTTTCGTTTCGACTTCGTTTGGCGGTAGGGGTGGATGGACGACAAAACGAGGGACAACGGAAACAAAGCGCAACCGAAACACACCGTTTAGGTGCAGCCCTGTGCTCCAGGGCGCCCAGAAGACACCCAACAAGCAGTGCCCCAAGGGGCCGCAAAAAGGGCCCCACGCGAGCCCCTAGAGAGTGCCTCGAGAAGGCCCAGGCAGGGCCCCGAAGGCACGAAAGTTCGGCCACGCGCGCGTGTGTCGAGGTCACGCGCCGGAACACCTCGCCATCGCTCGGACGTCCATTCCCTGTGCTTTTTGTCGGTGTCGTGCATGGTTTTTTTCGCCAAATGATCAAGGATGCTCCTCGATGGTCCTCGCCACAGGAAAAAATGCACACGCCCGAGCGATGCCAAGACACTCGCGTGGCCACTGGTCACCCTGATTTGATGGAGCGCCTGCGCGTGGGCTTCCCCAAGGGTCTGCCGTGGTGACTCCTGCTGTGCTCGAGACCACTACGGGACTGTTAAGATGGGATTCAAAAACGGGATGTGGGAGAACTAGCTAAGGGAAACAACACAAACCCTGCAAACCATAGAGCGAGAGCCGTGGTACCCTCGCGACATGCTGCACAACAACATGTATCCTGCTCAATTCCCTCATCCGGCAATGTCATAACTCTTCCCCAAGTCGTGCATGCGCTGCTATCGCATGCTGGAGTAGATCAACAGATGTTCGAACATAATATGTCTGCGTAAAAATACTTCGTTGCATTGGTTGGCGCACATGTCGACATGCACGCTCGACAACGGCGTAACTTGTTCTCCAATCTGCCTCTAGGCATCTTAGCAAGGCTTGCCTCGTGGACCACCTTGGGCGAGCCCCACACTGCCTCCACCTTTGAAGGGTATGCACGACAGCGGCACCATCGCAAGCGGTGAGCGAGGGCAACACAAACCATGGCTTCGCGAAAAGACGCACACATTGAACACACACAGGCGCTCAACCCTACCCGGTCCTATCAAGACACGCCCAACAATATCCTCGAGCCTGTCCTTCTACTTTAGCCATCTGCTCCCTGAACAAGAAGCCGCGCTTCAAAGGGGTAATCCGCAAACACCTCAGATACCCTGGCAAGAACTGGATGCGTACCAACTGGGACATGGAGCTCAGTGAGCGGACATGCGGGGCCAAATGCCTGGCAAGGCAGAACGACGTCAGGCGAAAGCGTGCTGATTCTCCTCCACTGTTTTCGCCCTGTCGCCTTTTAGTTCTCGGGCCTGTGAAGCCCCAAATGGCCTCGAGAGGGCCCAATGCGACCTCAAGAGTGTCCGAGAGGACCACGAGACGGCCCAGAAGGCTCCCAAGAGCGACCTAAGAGAGCACAAAAGGCTTCCAAGAAATCCCACCAGCCCTCTGGGCGTAGGTGGTCTAACGATACCTTTTCTGTCCTCTTCCGAAAACCCCTCTTCCCCTCCCAGGGGGCTGGACGGGAGGTCGGGAGTCATCAGAGGGCCCTTGTTCGCTCAAGGTGGCTCCATAGAGCATCCGATGCTCCAAGATGGGATGACCTCAACCATGCTCCCAAGACGCCGCAAGCGGGCCACAAGACGGTTCAAGGTGCCCTCAAAGACCCCGCAGGACCTTCCAGAGAAGCCAGAATCCTTCAAACATCTCGAGAAAATCAATGCGGTTTGCCTTCTCGCCCTTTTCGCTTCCGATGAAAGTTTACGGCGCCAAGGTGGCCCCAAGATGGCCCAAGAGAGCTCCAAGAGGGGGGCAGTAAGCCCCCAAGACGACCTTAAGACCACCCAAGAGGGGGCCAAGAGCGTCCCAAGATACGATATGTTGGTGGCCCAGGTGGGGGGACTAAACGCTAGTACCCCCCTCTTTTCACCGACACCCTCCACGACAGCCACAAGAGACCCTCGAAAGCTCCCAAGAGGCCCCCGAGAGAGCCCCAAGGGTATCTTACAAGGACGGCTGGGGTGCCAGCACATCCCACATGCCGTCTGGGCTCAGGTGGTCGACCGACTGGTTTGACATATCAGTGGCTGCTGCTTGTTCGCCTTATCGTCTCCGATGGGCTTTCGAACCCCCTCTGATGGCTTCAACATTAGCCAAGATAGCTCAAAGCTGGGCCCAAGAGGCTTCCAAACCGGCCCCAAGAACGCCCCAAGTTGGCGCCACGAGCACCCCGCCCCCACCATCCCTGTCAAAAACAAAACAAAACGCACTCTGCCTCCACATTACGAGAATGCGCGACCGCCCCATGACCATTTCGCATTGGTATGGTACGAGGGCGCGCAGGTGGTCGAGCGACTGGTTTGACACATCAACGGCTACTGCTTTTTCGCCTTCTCGCTCCCGACGGGCATTCGAAACCTCCAAATGGCTTCGAAATTGGCCCAGAAAGCTCAAAGATGGGCCCAGGAGGCTTCAGGCTTTCAAACCGGCCACTCGCCATCGCTCGGACGTCCATTCCCTGTTTTTTTTCGGTGTCGTGCGTGGCTTTTTCGCCAAATGATCGAAGATACTCCTCGATTGCCCTCACCGAGGAAAAAATGCACACGTCCGAGCGATGCCAAGGCCAAAGAACGGCCCAAGGTGACGCCATGAGGGCGCCCTCGATTGCCCTCACCGAGGAAAAAATGCACACGTCCGAGCGATGCCAAGGCCAAAGAACGGCCCAAGGTGACGCCATGAGGGCGCCAAGAGGCGGTTTCGAGGGCCCTAGGAGGGGGAGGCCTCCGGGTGGATGGCCCGAGGGAGACCTCTGGGTGTTACTTCTGTGTTGGGAGGGCGGGTGGGAGAGAACCTGACGGATTGCGGGTGGGTGGGTAGCTTGACCCCTCCCCCGACCCCCTCCCCTGGAACTGGACGGGGCGCCCCGCGAAGTGGCCGAGGGCACTTTTTTCGCCCAGAGTTGGCTCCACGAGGGCCTCAGAGAACCCAGAATGACCTCTAAGATGGCTCAAGACAGCCCAAGGTACCTCAAGTCGATTCCCAAGATGCTCCGAGGGTCCCCAAATAACGTTCCAAGACGGCTCCTGGTGGCTCCCGAAACCTCCAGGGAGCCCCCCCAAACCCTTCAAAAACCTCAGGGGCATCAGCGTGTTTTTCTTTCCTGCCTTTTCGCTTCCGGTAGCCTCCCGAAGCCTCAAGATGGTTCCGAGATGGCCCAAAAGAGCCCCCAAAGAGGTCAGGAGAGCCCAAAGACGGCCCCAAGAGCGCTCCAAAAGGGGTCCAGGAGGCGATGTTCTGTTCAGTGTTCCCGAGGGGGGAGGCTAATTATTGGAGTTCCCTTCTTCTGTGGCCGATGTCCTCCAAAATGGCCCGAAGAGCGCCCGCGAAGATCCCAAAAGCGCCCCAAGAGGGTTCCGACAGACGCCCAGACGGCCCAAGGAGGCGTCCCGGAAACCTCCAAGAAACCCCCAAGAGACCCCCGAGAGGCCTCAAGAGGATGCCCGAAACACCCAAAACGCTCAAAAACGGCCCTGGGTTCGCCAAGATGCCCCTTTTCCTCTCCTCCTCCTCCTCCTCCTCCTCCTCCTCCTCCTCCTCCTCCTTGTCCTCTTCCTCCTCCTCCTCCCCGACCTCCTCATCCTTGTCCACTGTTTTGTTCCTCCTGTTTCCTCTTCGCTCTCCTCCTCTTCCTTCTCCCCCTCCTCCTCCTCCTCCTCCTCCTCCTCCTCCTCCTCCTCCTCCTCCTCATTCTCCTCCTCCTTCTCCTCCATCGTCCTCCCCCTTTTCGGGTATCGGGCGTCGCCCCCCGCCCTCTGTTCTTCTGCGTGTTCCCCCACTGCCCTGACCACCTCAACTCCCATGGGCATCGTTTCTGGATGGGCTGGTGGGGCAATATTTTTTGTCGCGGCTGCGGCGAGCGCGCCAGCAGCATCGGTGGAGTCGATCGGGCCGTGGGACCCCTAATTGCCGGCGCGCGCGCCGAGCGGGCAAGCAAAACAATCAATGGGGGAAGCTGCGCCGAAGCAGAATTGCGCCATGCGGTGGAAGCTGCCAGCTGCGGAGGCTTGTCCTCGGCGACCTTGTACTCAGCGATCTTTTCCTCAACGAACTTGTCCTAAGCAAACTTGTCCTCGGCTACAAGCCGGCATGTGCCAAATGTGAGGCACGGGCACCACCGCCGTCGTCAAGAGCGAATCCTGCGACCACAACGCGTATCCAACGTCAAATAACTGCTTCTAGAAGTCCTACATCAGTCGGCGATGCGTGTCGTCCAGTAAGTCGGCGTACCACGGTCCATATCCACCGAGCGGAACCAGCGAAGAGCGACGGGTGCAGGCCAAGGTTGCACTGCGCTGACCAGAAACTGCTGGCGGGGATACTTTTCGTCGCAACCGCAGGCGAGCGCGCCAACGGCGTGAAGGGTCGGGCGGGCCACGCGCGAACCGAATTGCCCAACGCCGACAAACCGGCGGCCTAAGCAGCACCTAAGCTGACCGGGTAGCGCGAGAGGGTGCGGGCTGCAGCTGTCAGGAACCAGGCCCAGGAGCTGGCGGGGATACGCGAAACGTCAAACATGTATACTTTCCCTGCTCGGGGGAAAGATTTATCACTGCTCTCTAATAGTCTACCAATCTGGAACCATGCCGACCAATCTGGCGAAATGCCGACCGCATGCTCACCCACCCACCATCCCTGTCAAATTAGCCTGGCGATGGACCCAACCATATGCCGTTGTGAATACCACAATTGTGAATATCTTCTTCGGTGGCGCTCCCTATGGGGCCACGAACCCTGTGAGATGTGCAGAAAGTGGTGTGGGGGACGCATGTGTACGGTGGCACTTGGGCCTCCGGGCCACGAATCGTGTGATTGGTGTGCCGAAGTTGGTGTGGGGGACGCATGTGGGCGGTGGCACTGGGTCCTCCGGTGGAGCTCCCTATCGGGCCACCAAACGTGTGAGGAGGATGTAATCATGGGTGTGGGGGGCGCCTGTGGACGGTGGCACTGGGGCCTTCGGTGGAGCTCCCTGTGATATGGGGCCACGAAGCGTGTGAGGGGAGTGCCGCAATGGGTGTGGGGGACGCATGTGGACGGTGGCACTGAAGCCTTCGGTGGAGCCCCTATCGGGCCACGAAACGTGTGAGGGGGGTGCCGAAAGTGGTGTGGGGGACGCATGTGGACGGTGGCACTAGGGCCGTCGGTGGAGCTCCCTATGGGGCCACGAATCGTGTGATTGGTGTGCCGAAATTGGTGTCGCCGATGGTGACGATAGTGGCGATGGTGGTGATGATTCCGATGATGCTGCTGAAGATGAAGATGAAGATGAAGATGAAGATGAAGATGAAGATGAAGATGATGATGATGATGATGATGATGATGATGATGATGGTGATGATGCTGATGATGATCATGTAGACGATAAGAAGGGGGAGGAGGGCAAGGAGGAAGGAAGGAGAGAAACGCGGGGACCGTCTCTTCAAAACGAGGACCCAACACCACAGGATGGTCGGGATAAACAATACAAAGCACACTCTGTCTTCACGTTTGGAATGCTAGCGGGATCAGTACCGTTTCCTCCTCTGATAAAAGGAGGGGGGACCAAAACTGAAGACCTCCTGAGGTTACCTTCCTTCCAACGACGGGCGTGCATTCCCTGAGGGTTTGACGACTTTTAGCCCATCGACTTGAGGGGATCGAGCCAGATAAGTCAAGACATATGCAAAGACTTCGAGGCAATTCCAGGTCAATCGGGGTACGTAGACCCAAGTGGATTCAAAGGTCCAGGGAAATTTGGAGCAACCCGTGGCCGTTCGAGCGCGAGTCAGACGGCAGAAGTCGAAGCCCTTAACCATGTACCGCTCTCAGGTCGCCCGATTCGAGTAGGGGATCAACTACAGAATTGATTTACCCCGAAATTGATTCTTCGTCGCATCTAGAGAGGAAAAAAGAGAAAACCTTCGTGGGCTGCTAGGTACTCCGTCGGCGATTCGAAGAAGAAAACATTTTTGGGGTAAGTCGATTATGTATTTGATCTCTATACTCGACCGATAAATCGGGGATGGACAGAACCGCCTCTAGTAAAACAATTGTTTAGTGATGACGACCTCGGGCCCAAACCTGGCGGGTGCAAGCCTGGAAAATGACGGCCGCGGCGCCCCCTGTCGAGAACCGAGAAAACGGACATGTCACTCATCGACGTGTCAGGGTGGGGGTTCTATCCACCCCCGAATACAGTCGGGGCGTTGACCTAAGGAACGATACATAAGGAACGAGGCCCCTTTTTCCCATAAGCTAAACTCCGATGTTCCGTGGAACACCTGGGGAAAACCCAAGGAGCGCTGTAGCACAACTGAGGAACACGGAGCTCCTCCCAAACGAAAAGGGTTCCTTCTTCAGCGGCCCGACTGTAAAGGTCGGGAGCGGCTCAGAGGGGGGTGTCCAAGGGGGGGGGGGCGCAAATCATGACCGGCGGCATGTGCGTGGCCCCGCGGGGGGGCCAGGGACGTAATAAAACAAGAAGAGGCGCCACGACATCTGGGGAGATATCATGGCCCCCGCCATGACTTTGGACACCCGAAATGGGTACCGAAAGAATGGGCAACATGCCCAGCAACAGCGGCCGCTGTTGGGCAGGCGGCATTCTGTCTCAAATGAACACAGGCCGCGGCGGCGCGGACAGCGAGTCCTGTTCAAAATGAACAGGAACTGCTGTTGGGCATCGTACCCATTCTTTCCGTACCCATTTCGGGCGTCCAGAATGATATCCACCCCCCCCTAGTCATCACCCCCCTCTTTTCCGCCCCCGAAAAGGGGGCCGCCCGCCTGCAGCTGCATGGCGAGGGCCACGGCCGGCGCGGGCTTGGCCAGCAGGGACAGCGCCTGGCGCCCCCCGGCGCCCGGCCCGGGCCTGGGCCCGACCAGGGCGGGGCCCCACTCCTCCTCCTCCTCCTCCTCCTCCTCCTCCTCCTCCTCCTCCTCCTCCTCCTACTCCTCCTCCTCCTCCTCCTCCTCCTCCTCCTCCTCCTCCTCCTCCTCCTCCTCCTCCTCCTCCTCCTCTCCTCCTCCTCCCCTCCTCCCTCTCTCCTCCTCCCTCTCTCCCTCCTCCTCCCTCTCCTCCTCCCTCCTCTCCTCCTCCTCCTCCTCTCCTCCTCCTCCCTCCTCCACCTCCTCCTCCTCCTCCTCCTCCTCCTCCTCCTCCTCCTCCTCCTCCTCCTCCTCCTCCTCTCTCCTCCTCCTCCTCCTCCTCCCTCCTCCTCCCTCCCTCCTCCTCCCTCCTCCCTCCTCCTCTCTCCTCCTCCTCCTCCTCCTCCTCCTCCTCCTCTTCCTCCTCCTCCTCCTCCTCCTCCTCCTCCTACCCATCCTGTCTCCAAGCGTCTGGCTCTCGATCCTGCACGCCACGAGAATACCGTCGGGGCGTTGACCTAAGGAACCCAAAAGAAGGAACGAGGCCCCTTTTCTCCAGAAGTTCAACTTCGACTTCCCATCGGAAACCTGAGGAAAACAAGAGGCAACCTGTGAAACAATCAAGGGAACACCCAGCCCCTCCCCAACGAAAAGGGTTCCTTCTTCAGGGCCCCGACTGTAGATGCACAGGCGCCCTCCGGCGAACTTACTCCGAACCCGGAAATATAGATCCACTGTCTCCGAACGTCTGGCTGTCGATCAGGGCAACCGTCAGAGATGGAAACAAGCCATGGCATAAACATAACCACTCGGAGGTCCGCGCGGAGTTCTCAAACCGGTGCTGGGCCCCCCCTGCCTGGCGCGCGGATCGCGCGAGGGGCGACGCTGGAAGCGCCGCCAGGGGCCCCCAGCGCCGATCTGAGGAATCCGCGTGAACCCACGCAAATGTTCCACGTACCTTCGAGGATGGCGGCGGTGCATGAAGTCGCTGGCTCTCCATGGTCATCTGGCCCTCGATTCTGAGAACCGACAGATGCAGCCAACTCGTATGATCGGGGCGCACGATAAGGGCCTTGGAATGCAATCTCGACACGTTGCGAGCAGGGTGCGGCCAGCGAAAGCGGCCATGGACGGGCCGAACAGCAATAATGCAAGGGTGACCTTGGGAAGCCGGTAACCTTTCCTATGTGGGTTGCCTGTGAGTGTTTGCACGTCACGATCATGCACGCCAGGACAATGTATACACAGACGCCCACCGACGAACTTTGCATGTACCTGCAAGGAGAGCGGCGGTGTATAACATCGACACTCTATTGGAAGGCATCCGTGTATATTTCCCCAATCAAAGCTTGCACTGAAGGGTTCCCTAGCGGAAATTGAAAAAATGGCGACGAAGATGTCCCGCCGATTTTGGAGGCCGGCTGGGTTCCCGGGTTCCCGGGTTTCGGGTTCCCGGGTTCCTGCTTACTGGTTCTGGGCCGATTTCGGTGGGTTCCGGGTTCCCGGGTTCTCGGGTTCCCGGTCGATCTCCTTATCGATCAAACCATCCACTGATTGGGGCTCTTCTCTGGTGTAAAAACTATTGTGTGGCGGATGATAAACACGATCGGGCCAAGGTAAATCGAGGAACTCTGAGATCCAGCGGCGCTCTGGAGGATATCTCGGGCACCGCGGCCTCCTCCGATCGCTCCAGCGGCACGCTGGCACGAAGTTACGAGCCCCGCCAAATGAAAGCCATAAGAAACGGTTCACCCAAACGGGCATGAGCACGGACAGACCGTCACGGCAATTCTATAGGCCTACCACGCAATGTGCTTAGAACCCAGAAGTGTTCTAATAACAAAAACAATGTTCTTAGGACATAAGCCCGATGTGTTAAAACAAGATAGTCGCAACCAAACATGTTCTAATTACATTTCGTGCAGACCGCAACAAATTATTAGCTTATTTGGTGGGCCTACAGTCAAGCCGGGACGCTGCGCCACTGCTTGAGAAGGCAACACACTGCTCCAGAACGGGAACCGGGAACAGAAAACAGACGGCGACGGGACAGGCAGCAAATGAGACAGCGGCAACACGGAACCCCCAAACACGGAGCCACGGAAGTCGGGGCCAGAAACCGCTCTGCCCGTTACAGAGCCCCAGCCAGAGGAGATGAAGGAGGCCGGATGAGGAGGATGAGTGTCGAGGGCCGCGGATCGAGGGCCGAGCATCGAGAGGCGAGGGCCGAAGGTCACCGAGGGGAGGAGGAGGGGAAGGAGGAGGAGGAGGAGGGGAGAGGGAGGGAGGAGGAGGAGGAGGAGGAGGAGGAGGAGAGGAGGAGGGAGGAGGAGGGAGGAGGGGGAGGGGGAGGGAGGAGGAGGAGAGGGAGGAGGAGGAGGAGGAGGAGGAGGAGGAGCAGGGAGAAGGAGGAGGAGTACGAGGACGAGGCCGAGGAGGAGAGTATCGAGGGGATTGTGAACCGAGGGCACTTGCAGCAGAGAGCTGCCGCCCCCCCGCCCAAGGGCAGGAGATCGGTCGAATCGGCGGTGGACAACCCTCCTTCTAATAAATCACCCTCTTTAGTGAGAACGGCCCAGGGCCGAAACTGACGGACCTGGACCCGCACAAACGACGGCCGCGACGCCCTCTGGCGACCCGAAAACGGCCAATTCGCGAATCGACGTGTTAGAATAGGTCGATCAACCTCCGACAATGGGCTCCCAGGACGGCCCACGGGGCGGCCCACGAAGGGGCAGCTCAAGAGCCAACAGAGGCCCCCAGGCCAGCCCATGAGGCCTCAAGGGGCACCACTATAGTATGTTTGTGGATGCCATGACAATGGACACTCTAACAATCCGATCATTGATTAAAGAGGTGTTCAACATGTATAAAACATGCTCTTAAACATGTTTCAAACATGCATTTTTTACATAGTAAAACCATGCTTGAGACATCTTTCAGGAAGCTGGACATTCTGTGGCAGCCTGCTTCCTCTCCATGACTCGACCTCCACACTGGTTGGCTGCATCCTCGGGGGACCCCGAGGATGCAACATGTTATGGTATGTTATGTTATGTTATGCTATGCTATGTTGTGGTGTCTGTCCCCGAGGATGTTATGTTATGTTATGTTATGTTGTCTGTCCGCTCGAGGCCCCGCGCGCGCCGAGGCGGTGCCGAGTCCGTGCCGCACCCGCGCCGCACCCCCGACGTCGAGGGGCGTCGGCCCCCGCGGCCGGGTGGCGGCGGCGAGGGCGGCGAGGGGCGCGGCTGCGCCTCGTCGGGCCCCTCGGGGGGGGGGGGCCCTCGGGGCTCTCCCTCGCCATCGGGGGGGGGGGTGCCCTCGGGGGGGGGGTCCTCGGGGGGGGGGGGGGGGGGGGGGGGGAGCTCGGGGGGGGGGCCCTGGGGGCTCTCCCTCGCCTCGCCATCGCTCGGACGTCCATTCCCTGTGTTTTTGTTTCTTTTTCGGTTTCGCGCGTCGTTTCTTCGCCAAGGGAAAAATGGTCCTCACCGAGGAAGAGGAGGAGAAGGCGGAGGAGGAGGAGGAGAGAGGAGGAGGGAGGAGGAGGAGGAGGGAGGGCGAGGAGGAGGAGGAGGAGGAGCACCATACTGGGGAGCCAACGCTCGATGGTCCTCGCCGAGGAAAAAGCACACACGTCCGAGCGATGCCAAGTCGCCCTCCTCGCGGCCGCCCCGCGGCCCGCGCCCACGCGGCTCGCGCCCTCGCGGCGCGCTCCGCGGCCCTCGCTCCACGATGATGCTCGGCCCTCGATGCACGGCCCGCGGCCCTCCTCCTCCTCCCCCTCGTCCTCGTTCTCCTCCTTCTTATCCCTCCTCCTCCTCCTCCTCTTCCTGCTCCTCCTCCTCCTCATCCTCCTCCTCCTCCTCCCGATCCTCGATCCTCGAGCCTCGAGCCTCGAGCCTCGCGAGCCTCGATCTGCGGTCCTCGAGCCTCGGTCCTCGTGTTGCGCGGCCATCGAGACCCCCGAGCCCAGGTCCTCGAGCCTCGGTCCTGGCGGCACCCCTGGGGGGCCCCGACTCTCCTGTGAGCGACGAGGATAGAGAAGCGCGTTCCACGACTCGCAACACAACAGCTCGCAGATGGCCCAGATCCGCCGCGGGGGATCGGCGGCCCACCACGTCGAGGCAACAGGCAACCATGTGTTTTTGTTCTCTGACGTTTGCGAAGAGGTGCGTTGCGAATACTGGATCGCGCTCGGTGAGAAGAGGAACGGCTCTTCCGCACGATGCCACAGCGACCTTAAGCGATAGATCGCGCGGGCCGCCAGCGCGGCACGCCATGCGTGGGGGACCGGTTTTCAGTGCCACCCACACAAATGAGCTGGTCCAACACGAGACCGTGGAGCGGGTGTCGTGTGCGAACATGTACTCTGGATGGGGCAATAATCGCCACCCCCCTTTTGATCCGCTGGGGGGGTTGGGCGCGTGCTGTCGGAACGGGTGGAGGGGGCGGGGTGGAGGAGGGGGGGGGAATCCTCGCCTCGGGTACCCCCAATGCGCCAGCCGATGGGGAAACCAAACAATACCGATACTGCTACTCCCTGCGCCCTTCCCAGGCCCCCGACGTCGTGATTTTGTTCGCAACGTTGACCCCCTGAGGTCTGGACCCCTTCCCAAGCCAGACGGGCTTGTCCTCCCGAGTAACAAGGTGCGTTTTGGCCGACATTTCGAAGCGGATCCAGCTGTTGCGACGAGGGCCTCCCAGGAGGCCTCAAAAATGCGAACACAGGGAAAAAGGGCAGAAAACCGGCATCGGCACCCTTTCCCCACATGGGCCGAGGTCCCCGAAGACCTATCCCCCAAGCGGTGGTCGTGAACAAACTCCCCGCCTTGTGACAGGGGGCATGTCGACACCCATCACGGGCATGTGGAGGTTCTCGAATGGACCAGGAATGGTGGGCCCAACCCTGGGATGTACGACGGAGGGGCGCCCGTCATCGATAGGGGTGCGCCCGCATGGCCCCCTTTCTGGGGGTATATCCCATGGCCCCCCTCCCTTTCTGAGCGGCTTCCCTTTTCGTCGACAAGTCGGGGGCGCGCAAACATGGATTAGCGATCCATGGATTCGGCGCGCGGTCGCCCAATCCATGGATCGGGGGAGGTACCCTCCCCAAAATGCGGCCGCTGCCGCCTCGTTCAGTGGCGGGGATCCGCGACTTCGCCTGGACACGGGACCCGTCGCTCATCCACGCCCCCTTTTGATCCATGTTTGCGATCGCCTGACCCAGTTTTCGCCGAAACGTCGGGGGTTGGGGGAAAACGGTCGCCTGCGACCTTGGGCCCCCTGGTTGAGCAGACCGACCGTTCCGGCATTCCTGCAGGCCTACCACGAAATTTGTTCAATAATCCCAAAATGTTCTAAGAACGGAAGCGCAATTCTTAGAGCATGAACCCGATGAGCTAACACAAGACAGGCTCAGCCAAAACCGGTCTGAGAACTTCTCGTGCAAACCACCAAGGGTTCTGAGGAACATTCTTCGGTGGGCCTACAGGCGAACCGGGACGCTTCGTCACTGCTTGACATGAGGACGCCACTCCGCGGCCCCGCCCTGCGCACGGCTGGCCGCGGGGGGGCCCCCGCGGCGATGGCCGGGCGCGCGGGAAGCCCACCGCGCGCCCAGGCCTCGGGGTCAAAGCGCCCCAGCCAGCCCAAGTACCTCGGCCCGCGGGCGGAGGCAGCCGCGAGAGCGTCGCGGCGAGCGAGCAGGCGGAACGCATTTGTGGATGCGCGGCCATAACGGGCGCCATGGGGGGGAGGGGGGTCCTCCTGCTCCTCCTCCTCCTCCTCCTTTTCCTCCTCCTCCTCGTTTTCCTCGTTTTCCTCGTTTTCCTCGTTTTCCTCGTCCTCCTCCTCCTCCTCCTCCTCCTCCTCCCCGTCCCCCGAGACTGCGGTGCCGGACGCACCGCGGCAGTGCCGGGGGGCGCATTGGGGAGGGGAGCGTTGCGCGTTGACATGGGAAATGGGGGGGAGAGGATGGGGTATAGCTCGCGTTTGGAAAACACTCTCATGTTCATCGTCCTCCTTTGTGGGCCCTGGGGGCGACGTGACTTTTTTGTGCGCCACCCTGGCGCCATTGTGTGACGTCTGCGGCGCCGTTGTTTTACTGTTTTCGTTTCGGGGGCCTGGCCCAAACCAAAACGTTATGACTGGACCGTTATCGAAACCCTCTGGGCGCCCTTCGCCCTCCCAATGTCCAAACCCTTCGGGTAAACAATTTGTGTTACCGTGTCGGTGAACATCTTCAACGGTTTTACTTGTGTTTGCCAAAGTGGGTCCGAACCGCTCGTTTCTAACAATATGTGGTGCCGCCCACGTGAAACAATCTAGGTGGATCACTCAATGTGGAACAGTTTGCGTGGTGCAGTGTGTGTGGGGCAATGGATGTGGTACTATAGATGTCGTGCAGTCTACGTGGCGCAACTGATGGGGCGCAATCGATGTGATGCTATTTGTGCGGAAGAAGCTACGTGGTGCAATCTATGTGGCGCCCTTGATTTTTACAAACGAACTGACACATCCCACGCTCTTGCAAACATCCCACCCACCCACCCGCAACTTGGCTTGCAAAGCCCATGCAGTGACGATTGCAATGAGTGTTTGGAGTTCGCTGGCCCATCTCTGCGGCGGCGCCAACCCAAGCAGCGGCCAGCTAGTTTGGCGCGACCGACGCGGCCGCGGTGGCGCTGACAGCTGGGCGCATCCCAGCTGGGCGACGGCACCGACGACGTCTCCAACGACTTCGACGCCGACATCGACGACGACGACACCGACGACGACGACGACGCCGACGCCGACGACGACGACGATGACAACGACGACGACGATGACGACGCCTACGACGACGACAACGACGACGCCGACGCCGACGACGTCAACGACGCCGACGACAACGACGACGACAGCAGCGACGACGACGACGCCAACGTCGACGTCGACGACGACGAAGACGACGACGACGCTGACGACGACGACGAAGACGACGACGACGACGTCGCCAGCGAAGACGACGACGAGGGAGGAGGGAGGACGACGGCGGCGACAACGACGACAACGACGACAACGACGAGGGAGGAGGGAGGACGGCGACGACGCAAACGACGAAAAAGGAGGAAGGACGGCGACGCCGACGACGACAACGACGAGGGAGGAGGGAAAACAACGACGACGACAAAGACGACGACGACGACGACGACGACGGTGACGAAATAGGAGGGACGCCGACGAAACGCCGACGACGGACGACGACCACGACGAGGGAGGAGGAGGAAGGACGACCACGGCGACAACGACGACAACGACGACCACGACGCCAAAGGGGACGACGACGATGAACACGAAGAAAAACGGAGGACGACGTAGCCGACGACGACGACGACGCGGGAGGAGGGATGGCGGCGACGACGACGACGACGACGCAAGAGCGCGCGCGCACGCTTTTGTTGAAAATCCGTGTTGCGAAACCTTGGGTTCGTGTAGGTTTTTTGGACGCACGATTTTGAAATCTTCCCAAAACCGATAGGTTTTGAAGGATGTCGTCATCCGCGCGCGACGACGCGCGCCCGCACTTCGTCCCATTTGTTTCAAAGGGCTCTCGCGACGGCACACGCGCAAGGGCGTTCGACAGATTTCGACATGCGCGCGCGAAGCCCGTTTGGTAGCATGTTGTGAAAATCTTGAGTAACCGATGGTTTCCTGAAGAGTTCGCAAGAGCTCGCGCGTAAGTTTTTTTTAGCAACTCGGCGCTGCGAAACCCAACGTTGTTGTATATATTTTTTCTTGCTGAAGCTCGATTGCGAGATCCTTCCGGCACCGAAGGTTTGTGAAGGCTTTCCGCACGCGCGCGCGACGACGCGCGCGCACTTCGTCTCATTCGTTTGCAAGGGATTCGTAAAACAGACTTCTCTTAAAAAGGGGGGCCGATACCAGCCCACTGCGGAATATGCAAATTCATATTTAGAATGGACATGTACTCAGGATCGCATATGATTTACATACCCGAAAGGGGGGCGGCGAACGCGGGGGGGGGGGTACGGTCTATTCTGTTCTTAGAAAAGAGAATCTACGTGGTGCAATGAATTTGCTGAACTTGAAGTTGTCTTCTCCACTGCTCGCGCAAACATCCCACCCACCCACCCGCAACTTGGTTTGCAAAACCTGTTAAGACCGACTAAGACGACACCGACGACAACGACTGGGACCACACCGACGACGTCTCCGACGACTTCGACGACGACAGCGACGCCGACGCCGACGCCGACGCCGACGACGACGCCAACGAAGGCGACGACGAGGAAGGAGGAAGGACGACGACGGCGACAACGACGACAACGACGAAGGAGGATGGAGGACGGTGACGACGCGGGCGACGACGAAGGAGGAAGGACGGCGACGCCGACGACGACAACGACGAGGGAGGAGGGAAGACGACGACGACAACGACGACGACGACGGCGACGACAGAGGAGGGACGACGATGAGACGCCGACGACGGACGACGACGACGACGTGGGAGGAGGAGGAAGGACGACCACGGCGACAACGACGATGGAAACGACCACGACGCCAAAGAGGACGACGACGACAAACAGGAGAAAAGACAGAGGACGACGTAGGCGACGACGACGACGACGACGCGGGAGGAGGGAGCACGGCGACGACGACGACGACGACGACGCAAGAGCGCGCGCGCACGCTTTTGTTGAAAATCCGTGTTGCGAAACCTTGGGTTCTTGTAGGTTTTTTGGACGCACGATTTTGAAATCCTTCCGACACCGATGGGTTTCGAAGGTTTCCGGCATACGTCCGCGACGACGCGCGCGTCTGCACTTCGTCGCATTTTTTTGCAGAGGACTTTCGCGACGGCACACGCGCAAGGGCGTTCGACAGATTTCGACATGCGCACGCGTGAAGCCCGTTTGGTAGCATTTTGTGAAAATCTGGAGAAAAAAAAACCTATGGTTTTGAAGTTGTTTTAGCAAGCCAGGGTTGCGAAACCATGTGTTTTTGTATGTGTTTCGGAAACTCGATTGCGAAATCCTTCTGGCACCGAAAGTTTTTTGAAGGATTTCGGCATGCGCGCGCGACGACGCGCGCGTGTGCACTTCGTCCCATTCTTTGCAAGGGATTCTCGAAAAAGTGCTATGTTAGAAAGAAAAATGTCTCCGCATAGTGTTATTTGACAGGGAACCGCAGGGGGGGAGAACCCGGCTTGGCTGGGATGGTATGAGTTCATATTTAGGATGGACATGTGGTCAGAATCATATATTATTTACAGCACGCGCGGGGGAACCGATAAGTCCGGGGGGGGGGGTAGAACCTATTAGTCTTTTAAAACACGAAAATCCACTCTGCTGAACTTGAACTCGTCATCTCCACTGCTCGCGCAAACTTCCCACCCACCCACCCACAACTTGGTTTGCAAAAGCCTCTTAAGACCGACTACGACGACGCCGACGACAACGACTGGGACCACACCGACGACGTCTCCGACGACTTCGACGACGACAACGACGCCGACGCCGACGCCGACGAGGTCGACGACGACGACGCCAACGAAAGCGACAACGAGGGAGGAGGAAGGACGACGACGGCGACAACGACGACAACGACGACAACGACGACAACGACGAGGGAGGACGGAGAACGGCGACGACGCGAACGACGACGAAGGAGGAAGGACGGCGACGCCGACGACGACAACAACGAGGGAGGAGGGAAGACGACGACGACAACGACGACGACGACGGCGACGAAATAGGAGGGACGACGACGAGACGCCGACGATGGACGACGACGACGACGTGGGAGGAGGAGGAAGGACGACCACGGCGACAACGACGACGGAAACGACCACGACGCCAAAGAGGACGACGACGACGAACACGAGAAAAGACAGAGGACGACGTAGGCGACGACGACGACGACGACGCGGGAGGAGGGAGCACGGCGACGACGACGACGACGACGACGCAAGAGCGCGCGCACACGCTTTGGTTTAAATCCGTGTTGCGAAACCTTGGGTTTTGTCGGTTTTTTGGACGCACGATTTTGAAATCCTTCCGAAACCGATGGGCTTTGAAGGTTTTCGGCATACGCCCGCGACGACGCGCGCGTCTGCACTTCGTCCCCTTCTTTTGCAAAGGATTCTCGCGACGGCACGCGCGCAAGGGCGTTCGACAGATTTCGACATGCGCGCGCGCGCAGCCCGTTTGGTAGCATTTGTTGTGAAAATATGGAAAAACCGATGGTTTCCTGAAGGTTTCGCAAGGAGCTCGCGCGGAAGCTTTTTTAGCACATCAACGTTGCGAAACCGTGTGTTTGTGTACGTATTTCCCTACCCAGGCTCTGCCTAGAAAGGTTCTTACTCTCTTAGCTTAAAGGGGCCGGGCAGTGGAACACGCCCCGGGCGGTTCCCCCAGTCCCCTGGGAGCGGTTCCCCCCAGTCCCCTGGGAGCTTTAGCTTTAGCTTTAGCTTAGCCTTAGCTTAGCTTTAGCTTAGCTGAAGCTTAGCTTTAGCTTAGCGTTTCGCTTAGCTTTTCGCTTCGCTTTTCGCTTCGCCTTTCGCTTAGTTTCAGCTTAGCTTTAGCTTAGCTTGAGCTTAGCTGTAGCTTATCTTTAGCTTAGCTTTAGCTTAGCTTTAGCTTAGCTGCAGCTTTAGCTTAGCTGCCGCTCAGCTTTAGCTTAGCTTTAGCTTAGCTTTAGCTTAGCTTTAGCTTAGGCTGTAGCTTAGCTGTAGCTTAGCTTTAGCTTAGCTTTAGCTTAGCTTTCGCTTAGCTTTAGCTTAGCTTTAGCTTTAGCTTAGCTTTAGCTTAGCGTTACAGTTACTACTAATGCTGCTTTCCTAGAGGGTCCAATTCCTAGGTAGGGTCGCACTGGGATATTTTTTCGAAGCTCGATTGCGAAATCCTTCCGGCACCGAAGGTTCTTTGAAGGGTTCCGGCGTGCGCGCGCGACGACGCGCGCGCGCACTTCGTCTCATTTGCTTGCAAGGGATTGTTGAAAAATAGCATGTTACAACAAAGCATGTCACCGCAAAGTGCTTTTCTTTACAAGGGAACCTCAGGGGGGGGAGCCCGGCCTGCCTGGGATGGTACGATATCATATTTAGGATGGGCGAATGTGCAGAAAATGCATGAAATCATACTATCCGAAGGGGAAACGATAAGTCCGGGGGGGGGGGGGCAGAGTCTATGTATTCTCTTTTTAGAAAGGATAACCCACCAACGCGAAGCATGAGTATGTCCATTTCACTGCTCGCGCAAACGTCCCGACCGCAACTTGGCTTGCAAACCCCACGCGGCGGCGATTGAAATGAATGCTTGGCGGTGGCTGGTGCATCTCTGCGGCTCGGAGCACGCGGCGCCTGTCGCGCCAGGCGCGCCTGTGCCCCGGGGTGCCCGGCGCGCCTGGCGCGCCCGGCGCGCGTGGCGCACCTCGCCCGCGCGTCGCGCACGTGGGGTCTGTTTGGGTCCCTATTAGCTGTCCACGCATGGGCGACCGCTGAACGTGCTGAGGCTTGGGCGTCGCTGATGCGTGGGGAGGGCGGGCGGGGGTGGGCCTGGCGGCTTGCCATCCAGGGGGCGCCTTGACCCCCCCCCCTGGACCTGGGCGGGGCGTTTCGCGAGCAGCGAAACGCGTCGATCTAAGATGGCCTCGGCGAGAAGGCCAAACTCGTTGATTTCGCTGAGGTGCTGACCCAATCGGGGCATTCTGGGGGGGGGGGGCGCCTTGGAACCTCCCCTTCTTCGTGCGATCACCTCCAAGATGGCCCCGAGATGGCGCCAGAGGCCGCCCCGATGGGGGCCTCGAGAGGCGCGGGGGCGCCCAGGCGGCGCCGAGAGGCCCCCTAATATGCCCCCCAGATGCCCCTGCGAGGCACTCAAGAGACCCCGAAGAAACCCCGCGAGGCATCCAATATTATTCAAGAGGGTCCAGGGGCAGCAGCGAGGGCCCCCGAGACGCCCAAACACGCATGCAATGAGCTCCCTGGACATCCGAAAACGAATTCCGAGAAGTATCCAAAAGGCCCCTGGCCTTTCTTTTCGCCCCCTACTCCTCTTCCTTTTCCGCGTAATCCTCCTGCACCGCCCCCCCCCCCCCCCCCCCTCCTCCCCCCTCCTCCCCCGTCCTCCTCCTCACTCCTCCTCCTCCTCCTCGTCGCCCCCCTCCTCCTCCTCCCCCCCCCCCCCCCCCCCCCCCCCCCCCCCCTCCTCCTCCTCCTCCTCTCGTTTCTCCTCCATTCCCAACTTGGGGTGCGACGGCTTCCCGGCGTTTCTCCCGCCGCGCGGCCCCCCCGCGCGCCTCGCCCGAGCAACTCGCCGGGCTTCGATGCTAGATGGGCTGGTGGGATGTGTTCGAGGAGTCTAGGACATAAGACGCAAGGCCTAAACGACTGAAACGCTGTCCTGCCATTTCCAAGGCCCACTAAAATCCTCGTTCCTCGTTCGCCGAGCATGTTGCTGGCGACGACGGCGCGCTCCAACTCCTCGGTTCTCTCGCAAGTCTGTCGTCGCTCAAGACGTGCGCCGAAGCAGAGACACTCGGTCTCATCTGCGTCGCTCCTGCTCTATGCCCCCCCCTGGACTCCGCGCCCCCCCCCCCCCCGTCCTGCATCTGCATCTCCTCTCTCTTCTTCCCCCGTCTCTCCCCCCCCCGCCACTGCCGTTCGCCCCCCTCCACTCTCGCGTCTCGCCTCTCCGGGCACTCGCGCGCTGCCCTCTCGCCCCCCCCCCCCCGCGCGCGGGGGCGCGCAGTGCGCGCGCAATTGGCGCCCCCTCTGGGGCGTGACGCGCGCGGGCGGAACGCCGAATTCAACGGGGCGACCGCGCGCGCGCCGCCGCAGAAGCCGCAGCGGGGCCCGCCGCGGGGCGCGAAACGAGTGAACGGACTGCAGAACGCAGCGGGGTGACGGCGCGCGCGCGCCCGCCCGGGGGCCGCAACTGACGCTCCGCGCGGGGCGGGAAAGTTGTTCGCGCGCGCAGAATTGAGCGCGGCGCCCGCGAGCGCGCAGACCCCGCAACGGGCGTAGCTTCAGGTCGGGCATGTCCTCCCACGAGGGGATTCTGGGCGACGAGTTATAAGCGCGGAAAATACACCCGACGTGGTCAAATCCAATCAAAAACTCGCCCTCCTTGTTCGACTACTTTGGAGCCTCCCTCCTGTAGGGGGACAGGCCAGACTTAAGCGTAGTTGGAGCCTCCCGCGGGGCGCGGGGCGCGTGAGAGAGGCGGCGGAGCCGGCTGCCGCAACGCCGGCAGGGGAAAATGCGTACTGCGCCGCCGTAAGGCGCCGCGGAGTCTCCAATGCTGCCCAGTAGGATCGCTCCTTGGCGGGGCCCCTGTGCCGCTTGACGAACTCCTCGCGCACGGGGGCGCGACAAATGTCTTGTAGGCGGCATTCCCAACCTCGTCGAGGTACTTCTGGACGGCGCAGTCAGCGTGCTCGGCCAGGAAGAACCACCCAGCCTGGCGGCAGCGGCAGCCGCAACAGCGGCGGCACGCGGGGGGGGTGAGCAGCACGGGCACTGCCAGCAGCGGCGGCAGCAGCAACAGCAACAGCAGCAGCGGCGGCGGCGGCAGGCAACGCAGCATCCGCAGCATCAAAAATCAGATGCAGCAGGAAAGCGTGAGTTCACGGGTTTCCCCCGGGGTCGTAGGCGACCCGAGGAGGAGGAGGAGGAGGAGGAGGAGGAGGAGGAGGAGGAGGAGGAGGAGGAGGAAGAGGAGAAGGAGGGGGAGGAGGAGGACGAGGAGGAGGAGGAAAGAGGAGGATGAGGAGGAGAATGAAGAGGAGGAGGGGGAGGAGGAGGAGGAGGAGGAGGAGGAGGAGGAGGAGAAGGAGGAGGAGGAGGAGGAGGAGGGGGAGGACGGGTCGCCTAAGCCCTTCGGAGAAACCCTCCAAGCGTAAGAGGAGGCAGGAGAGCCGCGGTACAGCGGAGGGCGAAGCGACGACCTGGCTTGCAACCGACGGCGACAACACCTCGTGGCGGCCCACAAGAATGAACAGTGCCCCCCACCTGCGTCCTTACTCCGGATATTAATGGGACGCCAACGGGGATGACATCCAACAGCAGGCACTGCCAGAAACTGACGGCGAAGCCTTCCGCGGCTAGAAAGAATCGACCATCAAACGGACAACCTGAGATCTGGCGGCAGGCCTGGACTGGCATTTCAATCGCTGACAATATCATCCCGAATGTAAATCGCCTGCATCTGCTGGCCGGAACCAGGTTGGGCCATCTGATACACCAGCCGACTCCCAGACGCACTGCGTCTCGTGCCGACCGCACGTGCGAACGGTTCTTAGGTCGGGCATGCCCCCCGCTGGCGGATTTCGGACGCACAAAGAAGAATGGCCAAGGAATGCCCCCAACTTGTCAAAAGTAGTCAAACGATCGCCCCCTGACTACTCCAGATTTTGTAATAAAGGGAGGGGGGTCTCATTTCGGGGGGGGTCTCTTCCAGGCTATCTTGGAGGGCCTGGGGGTGTCTGGGGACGATGTTTTGGCGGGTTCTCCCACGGGGGGGGGGTCTGAAATGGCTTGTCTTGGAGGGTCCAGACCCCCTCCCTTTTTATTACGAAATCTGGAGTATATTTGGACTATTTTTGGATATCCCTCCTGTGGAGGGACGTGCCCGACCGAAAACCGTTCCATTCCTGCCGACTGCGCCCCTGCCGCCCGTGCACGGCGGCCCAGTGCATGCCCGGGGAGTGCCACTGCAGGCGGCCCGGGGCGCCCCCGATTTCTGCGGGCGATGCATCGGCGACGTCCGCGTGGAGAGGCTGGGGCTCCACGTCGAGCAGTGCCGCCGATGCGGAAGGGGCCCTTAGGGGGCAAACAAACCTACCTCGCTTTTGACCACCCTCGCTTCCAAAAGATACCAAGCGATGCCAAACTACGGCCTGTACTGGTCAGGCCGCTTGACGAGGAGGCGCGTGGTATGACTTGGTTTTGCCTGGAAGCGAAAGCGGGGTAGGTAATTCACGATCTGAGCCCCGGGACACACAAACCAATGGAACACACACAACAGGATTCCCCATCAGTGTGTGCCAATCTTTCCTGGGTTCTCGTCTTCCCCCCTCCACTTCCCCCATTTTCCTGTATTTTCCGGGGGATCGACGAATAATTGCGTCTGTGATTTTTGCCCTCCTGAGATGCACCAGCCACGCGGGGCGATCCTCCAATACCCCGTCCGCGTCGACCCCACCCGGGAGGCCTGGCCTCGGGGCACCGTGGCGCGGGGCGCGGGCGAAGACGTGTCGAGATCGAGAGGCAGGATCTCTCTCTCTCTCTGTCTCTCTCTGGAGGAGGCCGAAGCCTTAGTGGGGAACTACTGACTGGGTCAACGCAGACGGGTCAGTCGAGGCCTTGCCGGATCCCGCAAGCTCCTGCAGGATCCTGCGCGCTGGCCTGCGTCAGTGCAACCCTGGCTCAGCAGGCTCCTGCAAGACCCAGCGCTCTGCCTGACCCCTGCTTGCACTGCCCCCCGTCGATTGAGCCCCGACCGCATCGATCGCTTTCCCTCGCCGGGCAAGGACCCCGTGCCTGGACGGTTTCCCCCGGGGCCGTGGGCGACCCGAGGCAGGGAGGGCGAGGAGAAGGAGGAGGAGGAGAAGGAGGAGGAGGAGGAGGAGTAGGAGGAGGAGGAGAAGGAGGTGGAGGGGGAGGAGGAGGAGAAGGAGGGGGAGGAGGAGATAGAGGAGGAGGAGGAGGAGGAGGAAGAGGAGGAGGAGGGGAGGAGGAGGAAGAGGAAGAGGAGGAGGAGGAAGAGGAGGAGGGGGAGGAGGAGGAGGAGGAGGAGGAGGAGGAGGAGGAGGAGGAGGAGGAGGGAGGAGGAGGAGGAGGAGGGGGGGGGGGGGCAGTGTCAAAACTTGCGTTTGACGTCGAGGGGGGGTTGCAGTGCTCGACGTCGGTCGCAGGCTCGGGGCGCCCTGGCCTCGGGGCGCCCTGGCGGCGGGCGGCGCAGCGCGGGGGGGCACGTCGCGAGCCCGGGCCGGTCCTCGCCGATGCGCGCCAGGCGCGCCAGCGCCTGCGCCGGGGATCGCAGGCGGCGCGCCAGAGTCTGCCAGCCTGGGGCAACTTCAGGGGGCCTCCGGCTAGAGGAGGCGGAGCAGGAGGAGCAGGAGGAGGGAGATAAGGTGGGGGAGGAGGAGGAGGAGGAGGAGGAGGAGGAGGAGGAGGAGGAGGCGGAGCAGGAGGAGCAGGAGGAGGAGGAGGAGGAGGAGGAGGAGGAGGAGGAGGAGGAGACGGAGGAGGAGGACGAGGCGGAGGTGGAGAAGGAGGAGGAGGAGGAGGATGACGCCTCGCGAATGGATCGGCGAAAAGCCCCCGGCAGCATATTCGCAGGGTCCCAGGCGCACCAGAGTCGGCCACGACAGTCGGTGGTTCAAAGCTGGGTGGGGCCCCGAAGGATGGGTCCATAAGAACGAGGGGTCTCACACAATGTAGATCCAACCTGTGATCCCTTCCTCAGAAGGCAGCTCACGGAAACGCTTGGTCGTCCCCATGGCGCTGGCGCGACCAGTAACGCCCAAGAGTGCGCACAGCGGGCTTAGTGCATCTCCCTCACATGGCGCACAGGGGGCACTGCTGGGACCTATTTTGGCACCCTTGGGCGCTCTTGTGCGCTATCGTGCGCGGTGCGCGCACCATTGGAAATTATCCACCGATGTGCATGCGATGCAAGACGGGCGGAAACTTCCTATCCTTCGGGCCCTATCCCTCAGGGCCCCATTCTGTAAAACTCGGGGATCTACTGACCCGGCCCAGTCCAGACCAGGGTCAATCAGGCTCTGCAGGATCCTGCAAGACTCGGGAGCGGCCAAGAGGGGGGTGTCCAAGAGCGGGGGGTGCAAATCATGACCGGCGGCATGTGCGCGGCCCAGCGGGGGGGGCCAGGGACGTAATGAAACAAGAGGAGGCGCCATGAGATCTGGGGAAATATCATGGCCCACGCCATGATATCCACCCCCCCTAGTCATTACCCCCCTCTTTTCCGCCCCCGAAAGACCCTGCAGGATCCTGCGCCCAAGCCCGGGTCGATGCACCCCTGGCTCGGCAGGCTCCTGCAAGACCCAGCGCTCTGACTGACCCCTGCTTGCACTGCCCCCCGTCGCTTGAGTCCCGACCGCATCGATCGCTTTCCCTCGCCGGGCAAGGACCCCGTGCCTGGACGGTTTCCCCCGGGGCCGTGGGCGACCCGAGGCAGGGAGGGCGAGGAGGAGGAGGAGGAGAAGGAGGAGGAGGAGGAGGAGGGGGAGGAGGAGAAGGAGGAGGGGGAGGAGGAGAAGGAGGGGGAGGAGAAGACTCGGCGCTCTGACTGACCCGCGTCTGCATTGCCCCCCCGGCTCTTGAGCCCCGACGACGGTTCCCCCGGGTGCACGGCTTCCCACGGGGGCCGTAGGCGACCCGAGGCGGAGGAGGAGGAGGAGGAAGAGGAGGAGGAGGAGGGCGAGGAGGAGGAGGAGGAGGAGGAGAAAAGGAGGAGGAGGAGGAGGAGGAGGCGGAGGATGGAGGAGGAGGAGGAGGAGGAGGAGGAGGAGGAAGGAAGGAGGAGGAGGAGGACGGAGGAGGAGGAGGGAGGCGGAGGAGTAGGAGGAGGATGAGGATGAGGAGGAGGGTTCGCCTAAGCCTTTCGGAGAAGCCCTCCACCACCCCCGGGAAGGGCAGCGGGCCTGTTGCAGCTGCTGTTGCTTTCAAAGGGTGCCTCGTGGCGGCCGTCCGGCGCCCGCGGCTCGCCGCGAGGCTCGCCGAGAGCAGCAATCTTGCTGGGCCGACGCCCCGGCTGGCTGCCTGCGGGCCTTTCTCCCCGAAGTGGTCCTGTGTACGCTCAACCTTGCCGTCGCTCGGACGTCCATTTCACGTGCAGTTTTCGGTTCCGTGCGTGTTTTTTGTTGCTCGATGGTCCAGGATGGTCCTCGATGGTTCTCGCCGAGAAAGCATGCACACGTCCGTGCAATGCCAAGCAACCCGTATATTATTAGGTCGGGCATGTCCCCCTACAGGCTGATTTTGAAGGACAAATGAAAGATGGCAGACAAGTGCTCGAACGTGTTCAGAGAATGATAGGGAAATCGGCCCCAGACTATGTTTTGTTAATTTTCGAATGTTCCTCCTGTGGAGGGACGTGCCCGACTGAAGTATAGTAAGAATGCGCGATAAGGATGCAAGGCCCTTGGAATGCCATTTCGAAGCCGAGCGGAGAGCGGCCAGCGAAAGTGGCCAAGGATGAGCCGAGAAGGTGAGGATGCAAAGGGTACCCTTGGGGAGGTTGCCCATCCTTACCATGCGGATCGACCGAGACGCCCCGTCCAGCAACTTGGTCCTCTTGCAGCGTATCTCGAGCGCCGAACACCTGCCTGCTGAGGTGGATGTCGGAAGCACAGGGCGCAAGGGCCAAGGGACTGGGGCAGGATCACCCTAGTCGGCGGCCGCCGGATTGGCACACAAAGCAGGACAAGAACACCCGGGGTCCAAACGCAACAGTTTTCCGAGCTGCATGCAATTGTGGCGACGAGGCCCCCCAAACGGCTACCCACACCGCTCTCTCAACTCGACCTCTCTTGATGAAAATATCAGCCAGCGTTGGCTCCAAACAAATAGATGGACAAGAGAAGAGCGAGAGAAGGAGAATACGAGGAGGAGAGGAAGCCAAGCATGAAATGGCAAGCAAAGAGAAGAGAGCAGCCATGGGAATCCTAGCTCAGGATCCAAAAGACTCCATACGCATAGGCATTGACATAGGCATATCGGCATTGGCGTAGGCATAGGAATCCATATGACTCATAGGAATCCATAGGAATCCATAGGACTCGCCATGGAAAATAGGCGGGGGGGGTGCCATTGGAAATAGGGGGGGTGCCATTGGCAAAAGGGGAAGGGAGGGGGGTGCCGTTGGAAATAAGGGGGTGTGCCATTGGAAAAGGGGGGGGGGCCTAAAGACCAATTAACTACTTATGATGAGCTAGGACTCCTCTAGGGCAAGCCTGGTTGGAGAAAAAAACCACACGACAACCGACAGGCATACACTGGAACCTTCCCCCCCCCCCTTTGCGGTGTGAGCCGAGCTGCACAGAGGCACACGCGCGAACGGGGATCGGGCCTTGGCAGAACTGGGTTCAGTGGGACCTGGTCCAGTGATGTGCACCGGGGGACGCCCCCCCGCCCCGGGGGACGCCCCCCCGCCCCGTTCCACCGAGTGTACCGGGGGATGTGTACCGCCCCCCCGCCCCGTTCCACCGAGTTCCATCACTGATGTGTACCGGGGGATGTGTACCGGGGGATGTGTACCGGGGGATGTGTACGGGGACGCCCCCCCGCCCCGTTCCACCGAGTTCCATCACTGAACTGGGTTCAGTGATGTGTACCGGGGGACGCCCCCCCGCCCCGTTCCACCGACTGGAACTGCCGCCACCCGAAGAACACCGGCTACGGCAGACCTGGCTCGGTGATCCTGGCCCACTTCGGGGGGCTCCCGGGCCCTGCTGCTGACCGGGCCCCCTTGCCTGGGGTCCTGGCTATACCTGCAAACGGGGAGCCGAGCTAGGGGAACAACAAGTGACATACACATAAAAACTCGGAGGCCCGCGCGGTTTTCTCGGATCGGAGCTGCACCCCCCTCCCTGGCGCGCGGAACGCGCCAGGGGCGGCGCCGGAAGCGCCGCCGGGGGGCCCCGGCGCCGATCCGAGAAATCCGCGCGGACCTCCGAATTTGTATGTTTGTGCCACTTGTTGTTCCCCTACGAGCCGCGCGGGGGCGCCCCCCCCAGCCAGTCCCAGCCTGAAATGCTCTAAGAACATTTCATGGGAACCACAAACGGTCCTTAGAACATTGTTTGGTAGGGCTATAGGCGAGCCGGGACGCTTCGCCACTGCTTGAGAGCAGCGCGGCGGCTCGTGTCGGGCGAAAGGAGGGGATAGCAAAGGGGGGGGGTTGAGAATCAGCTCACGTAGCTGATTTTCCCGGCGCACCCCGGCGACGGGAGGCGCCCACGTATCGAGGACTGGGCCCGGCGGCGAGGCCGAAACCAGCTGCCTGCAGCAGATTTCGTACCACCCCTTTCCCTGTCCCTCCCCCCCCCTTTCGTCTGGCCCGGGGGGGCGCCCCCCCCCCCCCCCCCCGCGCGCGCGGCGTCTTTTCCTGCCGGCCTGCGGTCGCTTTCTCCACCGCCAGCTGCGGCCCCCGCCCGGCCGCCCCCGCGGCGGGCGGCCCCCGAGGGCCTCGCCGCCGGGCGCCGCCGCGCGGGGAGCGCCTGGATCGGGGGCTCGCGCGGGGCCTCCTCCTCCTCCCCTTTCCTCCTCCTCCTCCTCCTCCTCCTCCTCCTCCTCCTCCTCCTCCTCTCCTCCTCCCCTCTCCTCCCCCTCCTCCTCTCCTCCTCCTCCTCCCCTCTCCTCCTCCTCCTCCTCCTCCTCCTCCTCCCCCTCCTCCCCTCTCCTCCTCCTCCTCCTCCTCCTCCTGGGCCCCCGCCCTCGCCGGCCGCGGGCCCCGGCGCTGCCTTGCCGGTCGCCCCCGAGCTCACGCTGCTCCCCTTGTACAGTGAAAACGTATATGAAAGACGGGCGGTAAGGACGCAAGACCCTTGGATCGGGGAGACGTAAGACTCGGGTACGGGGGACGCGGGTTGGCCTGACGGGGTCCATCATACAAATGACGAGACGCAATCTGAAATTTGACGCGAGCTCCCACTGCAAACATCCAACGAAAACTGGACCGTCAAAATCCAGGACGCGCTCGTCAAAAAACGCCGGCACACCCGAGTTCCGGCTTACCCGAGTCTTACGCTCCCCCGATTGGAGGCCGAAATCGGGATTTGCTGGGCGGCGGGCGGCCAAAACCTCAACGGAAACGGCAAAGGACGGGCCGCAGAAGCAAGGGCACAGGGGTACCCTAGAAAAGGCGCGCGTCCTTACTATGCGCGTTGACTGTACTCGAGGACCACGTCCCAGGGAGGAACTTCGAGCACCCAGAGCAGCGTCGAGACGGTGTCTCGAGCGAGCGTCGCCTCCCAGGGCCCGACGCGTGAACACCCTCAGGCTTCGGTACGTTCTTGGTGCTCGGAATTGTTTCTGGGGGTCAAGGCTACAGTAGGTTGGAACATCATAACCTAAAGCGGTGGCGGTGCTGCTGCTCCCAGAAAGCGGAGCAGACCGCGGAAACGTCCCACGACGGAGAGGACGGGGCCGGACGCGCGGCGCGCGAAAGGCTCGGCGGACTCGAGTCTTTTACGGAGCCCACCCTGCATCGGAGCGAGAACTCGCAACCGAATTGGGGAAAAGCTGGAGCGGAAATGACACAAACACATGCGGAGCGGTTCGGATCGGAGTCGAAAAGCCCAAAGATGCTTCGGACCAAAACGGAAATCGAACCCGCCACACTGGAACCGACATCGAAATCGATATCGAACGCGGCCTTGACCCACCACACAGGACCCGGCAGGACCGCCAGGACGCCTCAGGACCACCCGCGGTCTCACTCTCGGCGTCGTCGTTGTGCCCCCCTTGGGGGGCCATCCCTCCAAAAAGGGCCCCCCCTCCTGGAGGCCCCCCCCCGCCCTCAGAGAGGGCCCACCCTTCCCGGAGGGCCCCCCCTCCCAGGCGCCCCGCCCCGTCCGAAACCCTCCGTCCTGGATTGGCCCCGCGCGGATGGAACAGCCCTCCCAAACGGGCCCCCCCGCTCGGAAGGCCCCCTCAGCCCACCCCCCTGCTGGAGACGCCCCCGTCCATGAGCTGGCCCCCCCTCGCGTGAAGGGGCGCGCAACGGCGCAGGGCGGTCTTCCTTGGCCTCTCCTCGCTCCGCCTCTGCATCTTTCTACCTTCTTTAGCTTCCCCGCCCTTCTACATCCTCCTCCTCCTCCTCCTCCTTATCCTCGTTATCCTCCTCTTCCTCCTCCTCCTTCTCCTCCTCCTCCTTCTCCTCCTCCTCCTCCTCCTCCACCTCCACCTCCTCCTCCTCCTCACCGCTAAGTCGGCTGGTTGCCTTGATGTTGAGCAAAACACTCCGGACAGTGTCCGAGCGTGGCTTACGTGCGTGACCCATGTGTCACCGCACGGCGCGCCTTGAGATTCTCCGGCACGTTTCGCGAACAACTGCCGGCGCAGGCGCGAGCAGGACGTTCCTTCACCTCGCTCCTCGCTTGCAGGGCGGCGCGCGAGCGCTTCCCGCATGAAGCAGCGGGAATGGCAGTTTCGCGACGCTTGATGGCACGGCGCGACGTGCCGCCAGTAAAAGGAGCATACATAGAACGCTCTCACGCGAAGGGCGAAAAGTATCCACTCGCCGAGACTGAGAGACGACGCGTCGTGGAAGCTCGTGAAAAACGAGAGCCACAGCGCGGGTGCCGTAATGAAGGCGGGCTGTTGCTGAGCGCGCCGCGGGGTGCTCAACGCGGGCGCGGTTGTCCTCCCGGCGCGGCGCGCGGCGCTGCCGCCCGAACGACGGGCTGTTGCCGGCGTCACCAAGAGAAACGCCACCATTGGTAATGGGCGCCCCGCGGCCGCCTGGATTGCAATAGTTGGTTGTGAGCTGGCGCTGGGGTGGGGGTTGGCAGGAGGAGAGAGGACATGGGGGGAAACGAGGGGGGGGGGAGGGAGGCGGGGGGAGGGAGGGAGGGCAGGATATGGGAGGAGAGGCGAGGAACGGAGCTGGGCGGGCTGGGCCACGGAGAGGGCCGTAAGGCCGGCGCGGGGAGGGGCACGGCTGGGCCACAGGGGAGGCGGAGGAGGATATGAGGAGGAGGAGGAGGAGGGGAGGAGGAGGAGGAGGAGGAGAGGAGGAGGAGGGAGGAGGAGGAGGAGGAGGAGGAGGAGGAGGAGGAGGAGGAGGAGGAGGGGAGGAGGAGGAGGAGGAGGAGGAGGAGGAGGAGGAGGAGGAGGAGGAGGAAGGAGAGAGGCCCGAGGAGCGGCGAGGGCGCCGAGGGGAGACCGGTGCGGGCGCGCGCCTCTCTGTGGGGTGCACAGGAAGGGAGAGAGGACCGAGAGGGGAGGGAGGGGAGGGCAGGGGCAGAACGCGGAGGCGAGAGGGGGCGAGGGAGAGGCGGGGGAGGGAAGGGAAGGGGGGGGAGGAGAGGGGAGCGAATGGGACGGGAAGGGAAGGAACGGGCACGACGAGGGGCAGGGGGGGGGAGAGGGAAGGGGGGGGGAACTGGGGGGGGGCGAAGGGGAAGGGAGGTGAGAGAGGAGGTCTCGGCCCCCGGGCGCCAAGCCAAGCAGGACTGGCCCACGCTCCCAGCCGAACAACGGCAGGAAAGGACGAGGGACATCGGGAAGCATTGCAGCTCTAGGACCGTCCCGTGCACTGCAAGTCCTACTTACGTGTGCGGAGGTCGCGCCGGAAGCCAGACCAGTCATGGCACGGCATGGCACGGCGGATTTGTCGCGGTCTGCAGACTGGGCACGACCTGGCAAAGCACACCTCTGCGTCGGGAGACCAAGGTGCGCTTGCAAACCAAGAAGGGCACGGCACGGCAAGGCACATACACTTCACTATGAAGAACAAGCGCGGCACGGCACGGCAAGGCATTCTGGAAACCTAGTACCGCACAGCAAGGCACGACGCGGCAGGGCGGAGCTAACGGCAACAACCACTGCCGCGAAACAAGAGAGCGCACAAGCCGGCATCCGTACATGAAAACAAAAGGCAACACAACAAAATGAAGATAAACTTCTGGGCAGGCATAAATCTGAACAAGAGTCCCAAATGAACCCTACCTCACCCAGCCTCTCCTCCCTCCTACCTCCTTTAAACTTCGCAGGGAACATCGGAGTCAGATCCGAAATCGATAAGAGTCGGGAACGCCGAATCGGAACTGGCATCGGCTTCGGCGCATCGGACCCGGATGAAGACTGGAACACCTGCATTAGAGGCCTCCTAGATGGAGTCGGAGTAGATGGGGTCGGAGGATCACGCCGCATCACCAATGCATCGCCAATGCATCGGTGATGCATCGGTGATGCATCGGCGATGTCGGCGATGAATCGGCGACGTCGGCGTGGAGAAAACGGACGCCACATCGAACCGCATCGGCGATACGGCGCCATCCTCCGACCACATCTTCTCCGACCTGATCTAGAAGGCCTAGATACACGAAATCGGGCCAGACTGGGATGGGTACAACTGCCAACCCGTATCATAAAGATGCGCGATACAGATGCCAGGGGCCTCGGAAGGCCGTCTCGAGGCTTTTCGAGCGGGGCGCGGCCAACGAAAGTGGCCAAGGATGGGCCGAGGAGGCAAGAATGCAACGGTACGCTTGGGAAGGTTGACCATCCCTACTGTGCGGGCTGACTTAGAAGAAGAAAAAGCAACCACATAAGCATAAACTTGTGGCGCTCCGCGCGGATGTTTCTTGGATCCGCGCTGTGCCCCCCTCCCTGGCGCGCGGAGCGCGCCAGGGGGCTCTCAGCGCGGATGCAAGATATCCGCGCGGAGCGCCACAAATTTCTGTTCATGTGATTGCTTCTTCTTCGATGACTGCAGCCGCGCCTCGGACTCGAGTCGGATCGGAAACGGCCGATTCGCTCATCGACGTGTCAGGGTAGGAGGTCCGTCCACCCCCGAGTACTGGCCATCGCTCGGACGTCCATTCCCTATGTTTTTTCGGTTTCGCGCGTGGTTATTCCCTAAATGATCAAGGACGCTCCTCGATGGTCTTCGCCGAAGGAAAAATGCACACGTCCGAGCGATGCCAAGGGTCCAAGGGTATAGGCACGCCAGGACGCTTCGCCGCTGCCTGAGAACTGGGCGTGCTCGCGTTCCCCCCGGGCCGGTGGCGGCGGCGCGGCCCGCCTGCGAGGCCGCGGGGCAGGCCCGGCAGGGGCGGCGAGCGCGCGCCTCGCCCACAGGGGCGCGAGGCCGCTTCTCTCGCGGCAGCACCACATCCTCCTCCTCCCTCCTCCCTCCTCCCTCCTCCCTCCTCCCTCCTCACTCCTCCTCCTCCTCCTCCTCCTCTTCCCTCCTCCCTCCTCCCTCCTCCTCCTCCCTCCTCCCTCCTGTCCTCCCTCCTCCCTCCTCCTCCTCCTCCTCCTCCTCCTCCTCCTCCTCCATTTCCTTTCCTTCTAAATAACTTCTCCCTGTTGCACCCCGAGGCCAATTTTTAGGGCGGGTCGGGCGTTTCGCCTGAGACTTCCTCATCATGTACGAGTCAGAAGCTTAGTATCTTCACAGATAGAGGACGGGTGGTTTTCAAAATGTGGCTCGCGCCTTTGCGCGGCGCGCATTCTTTGTAAACAATTACAAGAGGTTCACGGGTTGAGGGCGAATAGTTTTCAAAATGTGGCTCTCGCCTTAGCGCGGCGCACACTCTTTGTAAACAATTGCAAGATTTTCACGGGTCGAGGGCGGATCCTTTTCAAAATGTGGCTCTCGCCGTAGCGCCGCGCACATTCGTTTACAACGTGTTCAGATGTTTCACGGACTCCCATCATCAACGGACCGGAAGCGGCGTTTTGGAAGGGTTCAATCTTATGCGGGTGCAGCAGCTACGTTGAGTATCTGTGTCGAAATCCTGAAAATGGCGTTCTGGGACGATTCAGGACCGTCAAGACGCAACAATCAGGTTGATCCGTGGCGTTGGAATCCCGAGAACAATGTTTTGGCATGCTTCAGGGTCTTCAAACGGGTGCTTTCCAACGAAACAAATCCATCAATGGAAATGAACCGTTGTAGTGGCCTATGAAGAGGGAGCTTGAAGGGAGGGTTTACTCCAATATCGTTGATGACTCTTAGGTTTACACTGGTCCTCCTCCCAGATCAGCTTGCCAGCTCTTGCGAGTCGACCCTAGCCGACGCTACTCAAAGCTGAATCGACGCTGATCGACGCTAAATCGGGTCTGTTTCTCATTGATTGTCGAACGCTAGCGGAGGCGGGTGGTGGTGTTCAGGGCGGGGGGATTCGGTGGCAACTCATGGGACCCTACCACACCATCTTGCCCGCTCTCGCGAATCGCTGGTCGACGCTGAATCGACCCTCAATCGACGCTAGCGGACGCGAAATCGGCGCTCTCTCATCGACTCCCGGACGCTAATCGACGGTACACCGGGCTCCCATGATTTGCTGCCGAAGCCAGGGGCGCGCAAGCATGGGCTAGCGATCCATGGATATGGCGCGCGGTCGCCAATTCCATGGGTGAGGAAGGTGCCCTCCCGAAAATGCGGCCGGTGCCGCCTCGTTCGGCGGCGAAAGCCCGCGATTTCCCATGGAAACGGGGCCCGCCGCTAATCCACAGCCCCTTGATCCTTGTTTGCGATCGCCTGAAGGGTGCTCGGGGGAGGCGGCCATGGACGCATTCGGAGTGGGCTTCCCCCGAGGCGCACTGCATCTTAAGGACGCGCACGCGCCGCTCTAGATGAGATGGGATTCGACTGCGCGCGAATCAGGTCGAATGAGCAGTGTTGTGGGACGCGCAGCGACCATCCTGGATTACATGCAAGGAGTCTGCACGCGTGATCGCTTTCCCAGAAACCTCACAGTACTGTGAATCTGGTTCGATAATTTGATCACTTCCTCTGTGTCCACTGCGCCTGTGAGGCCTCTGCCAGCCCAGGTTGTAATATGGAATACCTTCGGAATAATGGCAAGAGTCGAGATGACATCCTAAACGCTGAGACCGAACTCAGCCTGGATTGCGGCGCCATGTTGAGGTACCACTCGCAGACTGAGGTCATTCACTTGGAAGGTGGCTGCGACATGAAAGGGGGGGAGAGGCGGGGGAGTGGAGAGAGAAACGAAGGCAAGGACGAGGAGGGTAGAGTCCCACCAGCCCTCTGGGCGTAGGTGGTCTAAGGAAGTTCCTCTTCCAACCCCCTTTCTCCCCCTTCGGGGAGGGGTTTACCCGGGCCGCGACGCGTTGGAGCGTCCAAAACGGCCTCGGCGAGGAAGCCAAAATCATTGGTTTTACTACGGTTTGCCCCCATGCCTCTTGGGGGGGGAGGCTAATTGAAGCTCCCCTCTTGTTTGATCGATGGCCTCCAAGATGGCCCGAAGAGCGCCCCCAAAGCTCCCAAGGGCGCCCCAAGAGGGGCCCAAGAGGCGCCCAGACGGCCCGAGGAGGCCTCCAAGAGGCTCCCAAGACACACCCAAGAGACCCCCAAAAGGCTTCAAGAGGGTCCCCGAGGCACCCAAGATGCCCCTCAAACGCTCCCAGAGGCCCCCCCCGAGGCACCCAAGACGCCCAAGGCACCCAAGACGCCCAATAGGCCATCAAGAAGCGCCGAAGCGATACCCCAAGAGGCTCCGAGGCATCCAAGAGACTTCTGACCCTTTTGCTCGCCCTCCTCCTTCTGCTCCCCCTTCCTCCTACTCCTTATCTTCCTCCTGGTCTGCAGGTTGAGAATTTACCTGCACCACTCCGGCAGAGCCACCCCTGGCGGACTTCCGAGGACATCCGAGTTCCGAGTTCTCTTCCTCCTTCTCCTCCTCCTCCTCATCATCATCAGCATCATCATCAAGATCATCGTTCTTCCCCCCACTCACACACTCTCTCCCCCTCACACAGAAACACACGCGCACAGACACACGCACGCACGCACACACGCACACGCAAACACACACACACACACACACCAACACTCGCGGACACACACACACACACACACACACTCTCTCACAGACGTACACACACACACGCAGTCACACACGCACACACACAAAATCACTGTCGCTGCACCAACACGGAGTCAATAATAGTTCAGGCTGGCGCAGGCGACCACAGCTATATCAAGGCCAATCGACAGAGAACACCGACGCTCACAATATCCAACCACGCTCTGTCCTGGTCGCGAGCTGGCAATACGAACTTAAAGAAGCACACGCCTTCCATCTTTCCTGTAAACCCACGCATATCTCGCCCCCCACCCTTGCACGTGCAAAACCCGAGAAATGACCTCCCAGAGGAAGGCCCAAGGCCCTCTAGAAATGACGGGAGCTCCCCAGAGGCTAACCTTTCGCCAGTGAGAAGTATCACCTGGGGGCAATAAAGTCGGTGCCCAAAGAGGACAATAGTTGTTTCCTGGAGATGTCGATGTTAGGATGTCTGGGTCGGCCTTCCCGAAGATCAGAGCTACGATAGGAACTTTGGAGGGGATGACCAAGTTCGGCCTCCCAGCCTCTTCCGGCAACTGAACCACATTCAATCCCGTGAATAAAAAGATACATGGGTTAAGGGGGCGGCGATGCTTGACTATCCGCGGGTTTCGGTTAGCTGACACGACATAAAAAACTTGCGACCCAGCTGCAGCATCTGACCGAAGACACAACTGAAGAAATGACAGGCCCTCGAGAGAGATTACAACGCCGGCGTCCGTGACGTAAGATTTGTGTGGTGGCGTCGCGGAGTATCGAGAAACAAAGTGAGCTCACCATACTCGTCCTTTGCCAGACCCGGAGACATGATCGGTGCGCCACCAACGCTCGGTAACTCGGCGAGTGGCCACGGGAAACAACCTCCACCGGCCAAGTCCCATGAGCTGGGACCGTGAGCTCGCCATCGCTCGGACGTCCATTTCCCTGTTTTTTTCTGGTTTCGCGCGTGGCTTTTTCGCCAAATGATCAAGGATGCTCCTCGATGGTCCTCACCGAGGAAAGAATGCACACGTCCGAGCGATGCCAAGTGAGAGAGGACGCAACCAAATTGGCAGGAGGAAGCACGCAGGCGGAACAACGCGTGGCCTGCTCACGTCTACCTGGCCGGCGAGTTCACGACAATACGCCCCACGCGGCCTGCCCGCCGCGCGCCGGTGGCAGATTGGACGAGGAGCGGAACAGTTGCGCCATACAGTCGGGCAGCTGACCTAAGGAACCCTAAATAAGGAACGAGGCCCCCTGTTCCCTTAAGCCAAGTTTTGATTTCCCATGGAAGACGAAAGGGAAACCCAAGGCAAAATCAAGGAACACCGAGCCCCTCCCCAACGGAAAGGGTTTCTTCTTCAGCGCCCCGACTGCACACTCGGGCACACGCTGAAGCCAACAACACATCAAGTGTATCAAGGTATACGCTTGTCTGCGTGTGCGCGTGAAGACTATCGATGACAAGAACTTGCGCTGCTTACGCCTGGAGTGGTCATGCCGTTGCCAGGCCCCTACCAGAAACCCAATCGACTCGGCGAAACCATGTCGAAGCCCAACCCCATCGCGAGAGCGTGCTGAACGCCCCCGTCTGAAGACATTGAGGTCAAGAGCATCAAATGCATCCGACTGTATCCCACCAGCCCTTTAGGCGCAGGTGTTTTGGGGCGCTTGCTCCTCCAAAGGGGACCTCCCTTGTTCACGGGGAAGGACTACCCCTCCCCGGCCCTTCCACCGCAACACTCCCTCCCTCCCCAGAAGACTGTATGTAGGTGGCTGGCAGTCTGGCGTGGTGACCGCCCCCACTGGTCACCCGCGGAATGAAGGGCGAAGTCACGGGGGGAACATCGGATCTGAGAGTCTGGTGGGGGGGGCCTGCTGGGACACATTCCAAACTCGCTTGGTGTGCTCTTGGAGCCTTCTTCGTGTACGTACTCGTACGGCCTCTCGGAACCTGCTGGGCTTTCTCTGGTAATCTTTGGACGCGCAGGGACTGCCTCGTTGGACCACGCCTCGGATTTGAGAAGTCGTGCCTATGCTGGAATGCTCCGAGGGCGTATGGGGGCCCCCCTGGGTCCCCCCTGTGCCTTCTTGGGGCTACCTTTAGGTCGGGCATGTCCTCCTACAGGCGGATTTTGGACGGAACATGAAAATACCGAAACAATAATCCCAAATACCCCAAAAATGATGAACACATCGTCCCCAGTCTATTGTTTGAGTATGTTTGAAAATTCCCCTGTAGAGGGACACGCCCGACGTAAGCGTAGGGGGGCCCTTCTGGGACCCTTCTGGGCCATCTTGGGGGGGCACCTCGGGGCGTCGGGGGGCCCTCGGAGGCTGGCAGTGTGAGGTCGGGCATGTCCCCCTACAGGCGGAGTCTGGACGAACAAAAAAACCCTAACATATCAACACATACGCAACTAAACAACAACAGCAACAAGCACATCGTCCACTGACGTTATTTGACTGTTTAAAAACAGATTCCTCCTGTTGAGGGACACACCCGACTCAACCCTACAGGTGCATTTTGGACGACAAATAGAAAAGTACCCCTGACATATCCCAAAAGAGCAAACATAGTCAACGAAATCCTCCCCAAACTATGTTTGGACAACTTTTGATTATCCCCTCCCGCAGAAGGACAGACAGGCCCGACTTCATGGCAGTGCGCGAAGGAAGACAGCCATCAGACGGTCTGAGACGCGTCTTCACGGACGGGAGCAGCTCACGCGCGTGTGCCTTGCAGGGCCCGGGCGCCGCCTCGCGGCCATCTGGAGGCCTCTGCTGTTGTTGTAGTTGTAGTTATGGTTGTCGTTGTTCCCCACATGCTTCGTGGGGTTATGGTATTCTTCCCTGCCGCGCCGCACCCGCGACACACACCTCACTCTTCGTACAACACAGCTCAGCACAGCACAGCACAGCACAGCACAGCACAGCAGAGCTCAGCACAGCACAGCCCAGCACGGCTCAGCACAGCACAGCACAGTTCGTGGCACTTTCTCAACACCACAGGGGGTGCGCAGGGGTTGGTCTCTCAGCTCGGTCGCTATCCGCGACACTGGCGCAAAACCTAGCAGGAGTGGCACCCTCTCGACACCACAGGGGGTGCGCAGGGGGTGGTCTCTCAGCTCGGCCGCTATCCACGACACTGGCGCAAAGCCGAGCAGGCGTGGCACTTTCTCGGCACCACAGGGGGTGCGCAGGGGGTGGTCTCTCAGCTCGGCCGCTATCCACGACACTGGCGCAAAAGGCTGGCAGGCGTGGCACTTTCTCGACACCGCAGGGGGTGCGCAGGGGGTGGTCTCTCAGCTCGGCCGCTATCCACGACACTGGCGCAAAGCCTAGCAGGCGTGGCACTTTCTCGACACCACAGGGGGTGCGCAGGGGGTGGTCTCTCAGCTCTATCCACGACACTGGCGCAAAGCCTAGCAGGCGTGGCACTTTCTCGCGGGGTGCGCAGGGGGTGGTCTCTCAGCTCGGCCGCTATCCACGACACTGGCGCAAAGGCTAGCAGGCGTGGCACTTTCGCGACACCACAGGGGGTGCGCAGGGGGTGGACTCTCAGCTCGGCCGCTACCCACGACACTGGCGCAAAGCCTAGCAGGCGTGGCACTTTCTCGACACCGCAGGGGGTGCGCAGGGGGTGGTTTCTCAGCTCGGCCGCTATCCACGACACTACCGCAAACTTAGCAAGCGTGGCACTTTCTCGGCACCACAGGGGGTGCGCAAGGGGTGGTCTCTCAGCTCGGTCGTTATCCACGACACTGTCGCAAAGCCTAGCAGGCGTGGCACTTCATCGACACCACAGGGGGTGGGCAGGGGGTGGTCTTTCAGCCCGGCCGCTATCCACGACACTGGCGCAAAGCCTAGCAGGCGTGGCACTTTCTCGGCACCACAGGGGGTGCGCAGGGGGTGGTCTCAGTGGGCTCTCAGCTCGGCCGCTATCCACGACACTGGCGCAAAAGGCTGGCAGGCGTGGCACTTTCTCGACACCGCAGGGGGTGCGCAGGGGGTGGTCTCTCAGCTCGGCCGCTATCCACGACACTGGCGCAAAGCCTAGCAGGCGTGGCACTTTCTCGACACCACAGGGGGTGCGCACGGGGTGGTCTCTCAGCTCGGCCGCTATCCACGACACTGGCGCAAAGGCTAGCAGGCGTCGCACTTTCGCGACACCACAGGGGGTGCGCAGGGGGTGGTCTTTCAACCCGGCCGCTATCCACGACACTGGCGCAAAACCTAGCAGGCGTTGCACTTTCTCGACACCACACGGGGTGCGCAGGGGGTGGTCTCTCAGCTCGGCCGCTACGCACGACACTGGCGCAAACCTAGCAAGCGTGGCACTTTCTCGACACCACAGGGGGTGCGCAGGGCGTGGTCTCTCAGTGAGCTCGCCCGCTATCACGACACTGGCGCAAAGGCTAGCAGCGTGGCACTTTCGGACCAGGGGGTGCACATGGGTTGTTTTTCTCAGCTCGGCCGTATTCCACGACCCACTGGCGCAATGGCTCAGCAAGCGTGGCACTTTCTCGACACCACAGGGGGTGCGCAGGGGGTGGTCTCTCAGCTCGGTCGCTATCCACGACACTGTCGCAAAGCCTAGCAGGCGTGGCACTTTCTCGACACCACAGGGGGTGCGCCGGGGGTGGTCTCTCAGCTCGGCCGCTATCCACGACACTGTCGCAAAGCCTAGTAGGCGTAGCACTTTCTCGACACCACACGGGGTGCGCAGGGGGTGGTCTCTCAGCTCGAGGTGCGCAGGGGGTGGTCTTTCAGCTCGGCCGCTATCCACGACACTGGCGCAAACCTAGCAAGCGTGGCACTTTCTCGACACCACAGGGGGTGCGCAGGGGGTGGTCTCTCAGCTCGGTCGCTATCTACGACACTGGCGCAAAGCCTAGCAGGCGTGGCACTTTCTCGACACCACAGGGGGTGGGCAGGGGGTGGTCTCTCAGCTCGGCCGTACCGCACGAACACTGGCGCAAAGACTAGACCCCTAAGCGTATGGCACTTTTGACACACAGGGGTTTTTGAGTGCGCAGGGCGTGGTCTCTCAGCTCGGTCGCTTATACCACGACACTGGCGCAATAGCCTTAGCAAGTGCGTCGGCAACTTTTAGCGACATCCACAGGGGTCTTGTTGGCGCCACGACAGGTGGTCTCTTCAGCTCGGTCGCTATCCCCGACACTGGCTGTGCAGGGCTTATAGCAGGCGTGGCACTTTCTCGACACCACACGGGGTGCGCAGGGGGTGGTCTCTCAGCTCGGTCGCTATCCACGACACTGGCGCAAAGCTTTGCAGCCGTGGCACTTTCTCGACACCACGGGGGGTGGGCAGGGTGTGGTCTCTCAGCTCGGCCGCTATCCACGACACTGGCGCAAAGCCTAGCAGGCGTGGCACTGTCTCGACACCACACGAGGTGCGCAGGGGGTGGTGTCTCAGCTCGGCCGCTATCCACGACACTGCGCTTAAAGCTAGCAGGCGCCTGGCACTTTATCAGACACCCACAGGGGGGTGGTAACGCGGGGGGTGGTCTCCTCAAGCTTCGGCGACTATTTCCACGACACTGGCCGCAAAGCCTAGTCATGCGTAGCACCTGCTCTCGACTACCACACCGGGGTGCGGCAGGGGTGTCTCTCCTTCAGCTCGGCCGCCATCCACGACACTGGCGCAAAGCCAAGCAGGCGTGGCACTTTCTCGACACCAAAGGGGGTGGGCAGGGGGTGGTCTCTCAGCCCGGCCGCCATCCACGACGCTGGCGCAAAGCTTTGCAGGCGCGGCACTGTCTCGACACCACAGGGGGTGCGCAGGGGGTGGTCTCTCAGCTCGGCCGCTATCCACGACACTGGCGCAAAGGCTAGCAGGCGTGGCACTTTCTCGACACCGCAGGGGGTGCGCAGGGGGTGGTCTCTCAGCTCGGCCGCTATCCGCGACACTGGCGCAAAGGCTAGCAGGCGTGGCACTTTCTCGACACCACAGGGGGTGCGCAGGGGGTGGTCTCTCAGCTCGGCCGCTATCCACGACACTGGCGCAAAGCCTAGCAGGGAACATTCGCGACGAGGGCCCAGAACGCAGGATTGTGCATATATATGTTATACATAATCAAACACATAATATTTAAATTAAGTATGTGGGGTGCTTCGGTAGCGTAATGTATGCTGTTAGTGTTGTTGCAATTGTTGTTATGGTTGTCGTCGTTGCTGTTGCTGTTATTGTTGTTGTTGATGTTGTTGATGTGTTTTTAGTAGTAGTAGTAGTAGTAGTAGTAGTAAGAGTAGTAGTAGTAGTAGTCGTCGTGGTAGTAGTAGTAGTAGTAGAAGAAGAATAGTAGTAGTAGTCGTCGTAGTAGTAGTAGTAGTAGTAGTAGTAGTAGTAGTAGGTAGTAGGTAGGTAGCAGTCTTGGAGGTAGTAGGCTAGGTAGGTAGGTAGGTAGGTAGGTAGGTGTAGGGTTTAGGTAGGTAGGTAGGTGGTAGGTCTATAGTAGTAGTAGTAGTAGTAGTAGTGTAAGGTAGTAGTAGTAGTATTTCTTTTTTTTTTTAGGTAGTAGTAGGTCAAGTAGTATAGTAGTAGTTAGTAGTAGTTAGTAGTAGTTAGTAGTAGTAGTAGTGTAGTAGTAGTAGTAGTTAGTAGTAGAGTAGTTTTAGTAAGTATGGTAGTAGTGTAGTAGTTAGTAGTAGTTTAGTAGAGTAGTAGTAGTAGTACGTTAGGTAGAAACACAAACTAGTAGTAGTAGGTAGTAGTAGTAGTAGTTAGTACTTCTTTACTAGTAGTAGTAGTAGTCAGTAGTAGTAGTAGTCGTAGTAGTAGGTAGTTAAGGTTAGTAGGTCGTAGGTAGTAGGTAGTAGGTATGTAGTCTTAGTAGTAGTAGTAGGTAGTTAGTAGTAGTAGTAGTAGTAGTAGTAGGTAGCAAAGGTAGTTAGGTCCCAGTAGGCAGTAGGTAAATAGCGTCTCGAGTCCCCAGTAGTAGTAGTAAGTTAGTAGTCAGTAGTAGTTCGTAGTAGTAGTGGTAGTAGGTATTAGTTAGTAGTAGTAGTAGTAAGTTAGTAGTAGTTAGTAGTAGTAGTAGTAGTAATGCTAGTCTAGTACCTAGTAGTAGTAGTCAGTAGTAGTAGTATTAGTAGTAGTAGTTAGTAATAGTTAGTAGTAGTAGTAGTAGTAGTAGTAGTAGTAGTAGTAGTAGTAGTAGCAGTAGCAGTAGTAGTAGTAGTAGTAATCGTGGTGGTAGTGATAATAGATGCAGTAGTTGTTGTTGCTCAACTCTCCGACGGGCCTCTGGGCGCGCCCGGCTCGAGCCCGTCCCGGGCCAACCCGGGCGCCCTGCCGGAGGCCTGCCCTGCCCAGCCTTGCCCCGCCCGATCTGGCCGTGCCTGTCCCAAAACGTTGTACAGTCAAAAACCCTAATAAGGACGCGCGGTAAGGACGCAAGACCCTTGGAAGCCGAAGTTGGGATTTTTGGGGCGGCGGACGACGAAAACCTCAAGGACGCAAGAGCAAGGAAGAGCAAGGACGCAAGGGTACCCTGAGCAAAGTCGCGCGTCCTTGCTAGGGTTTTTGGCTGTAGTTCCCGCGAGCGCCCTGGCCCCGCGACCCCACGGGGGAAGTCTTGGCGAGGAGGCTGCACCGGGGCGCCGTCGCGGGGTGTCCTGCATGCGAACAGATCGAGCAAGCGGATGCTGGACGAAAGATCAGAGATATCCCTTATAACACCCCTGAATCTACAAAACAACGGAAAACCTAAAATATGTCAAAAATGCTCAAATTAGACAACATATCGTCCCCAAGCTATTCTTGGACTGTTTTTGAATCTCCCTCCCGTAGAAGGACGTGCCCGACCCAATGGCAGTGCGAGAGGGGAGACAGCCAATCAAGCGGTCCGAGACGCATATTCACTGACTGGTCAGCGTTCCTCTACTCGGCAGAAACGAGGAATCAACAAAAACGATCGCCCGAAGCATCTCACGCGCGTGTGGCTTGCAGGGCCCGGGCGCCGCCTCGCAGCCACTCGGTGGCCTCCGACGGGCCTCGGGGAGCGCCCTGCTCGAGACCGTCCCGGGGCCGGGCGCGGCCTCTCGGGCGCGCCCTGCTGGAGGCCTGCCCCGCCCTGCCGTGTCCTGTCCCGTCTGGCCCTGCCTGGCCCAAGACGGTTGGTGGGCCTGTTTTCCACCACCGCCACCATAAGTAGGAGGGGGAGGGGGTCCCCCTCCTCCTCTCCTCCTCCTCCCTCCATCATCCTCCTCCTCCTCCTCCTCATACTGCTGCTCATATGCCTCATCCTCCCTCCAACCTCCTACTCCCTCCCGACATCTTCAGTCGTTCTCTCCCATCTTCGGTCACCTCGCACCACCTCCTTCACCCCTCCAACCTATGGTGGTGGTGGTGGTGGAAAACAGGCCCATCATCGGTAGTCACCGCGAGCGCACTGGACCGCGACCCCACGGGGGAGGTCTTGGCGAGGAGGCTGCACCGGGGCGCCGTCGCGGGGTGTCCTGCATGCGAGGCCTGATCGGATCGTCACCGACTGGAGCCTGTCAGGGGTGTCGCTGGAAAATTCTGGGGGCCACTTCGGAGCCGTCTTGAGGCCTTCTCGGGGACTCCGGGAGCCCTGCTGGAGACCATCTGGAGCCCACTCGGTCCATCGGGCGCCGCCTTGGAGGCCCCTCCTGTCTTGCCCTGCCTTGTCTGGCCATGCCTGGCCCAAGACGGCCCCCGAGGCTTTCGAAGGGAAACCTTCGCGATGGGGGCTGGACCAGGCGGGGGGCCGCGGGGGGCCGATCGCGGGCTCGCCAAGGTGCTAGCAACATAGCGCAGGCAAGTGGACCCGCGCCGCACAGACTGCGCGACGCGCGTTTCTCTTTGCGCGGCTATACGCTGGCCATCGCGCGGACGTCCGGTCCCCGTGCATGCTTCGATGACGCGCGTGTATTTGTCGCAAGGACCCCATACGAACCACCCCGACACGCGAAGCCGTTTAGCAAACGCGCCCAAAAGAGGAATCGAACAGGGCAAGGCTGTTAAGTAAACGCGCAAGGCCGTTTCGTAAACGCCAATTCGTAGGGCCGTATTTCAGGGGAGGAAAAACCATCCCGGTCCGACAATTGGCGTTCACTAAACGGCCATGGGCGTTTACTAAACAGCCCTGCCCTGTTTGATCCCTTCTTTGGGTGCGTTTACCAAACGGCCTCGCGCGTTGGGGTGTGGCTACTCTCGGGGTGGATCCTCTGCCCTCCAGTCTTGTAAACGCCCAGGGCCGTTTAGGAAAGGCTTTTCCTCCCTTGACGGAGGCCCTCTGGAACGTGGGGGGGGGGGGCGGGGTCGTCGTGCAAAATCCTGCGGTGCGCGGCGCGCGGCGGGCGAAGCCCGCGGGCGAAACCCGCGGGCTCCCCCCACCCCCCTTCCAGGCACACCGCTGCCCCAGCAGGGGCGGCGCGGCGCGGGGGGGCGGGGAGGGAGGGAGGGAGGGAGGGAGGGAGAGAGAGAGAGGAGGAGGAGGAGGAGGAGGAGGAGGCGGAGGAGGAGGAGGCGGAGGAGGAGGAGGAGGAGGAGGAAGAGGAGGGGGAGCACAAGAGCGATGGCGGCGCCGCGGCCGTCGGCAGCCTGCGGGGCTCTCTGGGAAGAAAAAGCCAGCAGTGCGGGTGGGGGGGCGGTCGTGGCGCGGAGCGCGGGATGGGTCGTTGGATGGGACGTGGGGCGAGTCGCGGGGGGGGGGGGTCGCGGGGGGGTAGCGGAGGTACGGCGACAGCCACTGCAACGCAAAACGCCACAGCAAAACAAATAACAAAACCAACAGCAACAACACCAACAACAACACCACGCACAAGAACAGCAGCAGCCGCAGCAGCAGCACTAGCAGCAGCAGCAGCAGCAGCAGCAGCAGCAGCAGCAGCAGCAGCAGCAGCAGCAGCAGCAGCAACGGCACCACCACCAACAACAACACCAATAACACCAACACCACTAACAACAACACCAACACAACACTTATATCAACAACACGAACACGAACACGAACACGAACACGAACACGAACACGAACACGAACACGAACACTAACACTAACACTAAACACTAACAACAACCACCACAACAACAGCAGCAGCAACAACCACCACACCAACAACAACCATTTTAAGACTGCTCGCCCTCATCTGCTCGAGTGTCCAATGACGCGTATTTCCCAAACCCTCGATACCCGCCCTCGTCGTCTTCGATCGAACCCCATTTGGAGGGTATACCTTTCTTCCCTGCAGGCCGGGCCCCGGCAAGCGGCGGGGCGGCCGCGGACCGTCGGCCTTGCCAGCGGCAGCGCTGATCGGCGGGGCGGCCGCGGACCGTCGACCCGACCCCAAGAGGGACGGACAGGGGACCGACCACGACGACGACGACGACGTCGACGACGACGACAACGACGACGAAGGCGACGACGAGCGAAAGCGAGAGCGAAAGAGAACGACAGCAGGGCCACGAAGGACACGAAGTAGGCCACGAAGGGCGACAGCGGGGACGCGAAGGGAATGCGTATGGGGCCACGAAGAGCGCGAACGAGCGGGGGCCACGAAGGGCAGATAATGCGGGGCCACAGAAGGCAACGATGGGGCCGCTGAGGGTAGCAACTGGGCCACGTAGGACAGTGAGGGGGCCACAAACGGGGACAGCGGGGCCACGAAGGGCATGCACATGGGGCCACAACGGGCGCGACTCCTGGGTGCCTGGGTGTCGGGAGCACGGCGCTTGAGCAAATTGCAAGGAATTCCAACGCAAGGGCGCTATCCTTCAGCAACTTGCAAGCAAGTCTCTAGCGAGAGCGCGACTCCAAAGCGCAGGGAGAGCGATTCCTGTATAAATTGTAAGGAAGTCACAAGCGAGAGCGTTATCCGCGAATAAAAAGCGAGGACGTCTCGGGCGGGAGCGGGGGTCCTGGCAAAATTGTGAGGACGTCTCACGCGGGAGCCGTTATTGTTGTAACCCGGGGGCCAGGGGCGTAGTTTGGGCATGAAGACTTCCCCTGTCAAAAAACAGGGTGCGAGCGTCGAGGGGCACACTTTGATGGAGAAAAAACAGTATGCACTGGTGAGGGGGGATCAGCAATCATTATTCTTCAGAAATGAGAGTTCAACATCAACAACTGCAACAGCAACAGCAACAGCAACAACAGCAGCAACAGCAACAACAACAACAACAACAACAACAACAACAACACTTACAACAACAACAACAACAACAACAACAACAATCATTTAAGACTGGGGACACTCCGTTCTCACCAGTGCCAAGGTTTTCATAGGAGGCGGGCAATACCCCCACTTTGTGGGGGGGCCGGTTCAAGCTCTACCAAGTGTCCAAACGACTCTTCGCCACCACCCACACCCAGCTTCCCGCCCTATGACGTTCGGACATTTCACTTCGTGGCCTGCGGACGACCTTGGCTACTACACTGGCGCATGGGTACAATGACTTGTTGTGGTAACATTTTGTGGAAGCTAGCTTAGTATACGACTTATCCCCCTGTTCCAACACTGGACACCTGTACCGTTTTCCGACGTTTTTCCGTTTCCGTACCACACAAGCAAAGATTAGTTTGGGTGATGTACGTGGCGCCAGCATACCACAGGACTTGTTTCCGTTGTTGTTATATGCTCATTATTGTTCTGTGGTTGTCGTTCCGGCCCTGGCAGGCGCGCAACCTTTGTTGCAGAAGTTCGAAGCACGTGAAAAAGTTGATCGCAAGAGCCCGTTTGACAGCAATGTTGAAAAAGTACTGGGTTTCCTAAGAAATCCGCAAGAGCGCGCGGGGTGAATTTTTGAAACCCTTTTTTTGGACAACCATTGGGTTTTTCATGTTTTTATGTGAAAATCGCTACGAAGACTAAGGTTTTGGAAGGATTTCGTCTTGCGCGCGCGAATGTGCACTTCGTGCCATTTTTTGCAAGGGATTCTTGAAGTTTGATCATGTTAGAACAAGAAATGTCCACTTTGCCTTATTTTTTGCAAGGGAAAACCGATCGTAACAACACAACCGGATCCGGACACCCACGTTTTGCCTGAGAATTCCTCACGAAAATGATGAAAATGTGGCTGCGGCCTAGGCGCGGCGGGGGGGGCGCGCACCAGGGGTCCCAACAATAATTATTCTTTAGAAGAAATAATGTTCAACAACAACAACAACAACAACAACAACAACAACAACAACAACAACAACACCAACACCAACACCACCGTCAACAGCAACAGTTTACCAGGCACGCCGACCGACCCCAGAGGCGAGACGGCGCGTGCACCAGGACTCGGGAAGAGCATCGGACGAGGACCTGGCGCCACCACGCTTACCACTGGTTGGCGTGATGCAAAAAAGGGGAGGCGCCCACCGCGCCACCGGGAAGGGGGGAAGATCGAGCTGGAATCGGCGATACATCGCCGATAGACTTAAGTCGGGCGTGTCCCCCTACAGGGGGATTCTCGACGAAAAATAAAAGATACCCCAAACAAATAAAAACAAATCCAAAAATAGTATGGGCACTATGTTTTGAGTATTTGTTGATCTTTTTAGGGTAGTTTTGGGGTGTTTTATTTTTCGTCGAAAATCCCCCTGTAGGGGGACACGCCCGAAATAACGATAGACCGGCGACAGGACCCGGATAGCGGATCCGCACGGTCCTACGCGGGGTGGGCCATCGGGCCCCTGTCGGCGACGAATGGGCGATTGGGGACCGATGCATCCCCTACCGAGCCCATCCTCGGACGGGGCGAGGACGAAGGTAACTCCGTTCACTCCCATACGCTCTCAGAGCGCCCCGGACCGCTCTGAGAAGGCCGTGGCGCCGGAGACGTCCTCCAAACGCGCCGGATCTCAGAGATTCTCAAGTCATGCTCACCGGACTTTCTCCTCGCCCTGGCCTGGCTTCGCCTTGCTTGTCCGTGCGGGCACACCCGCGCTTGGTGACTGCCACCAGCGGCGAAGCGCCGGCACCTGAGGCGTGGCACGCTCCTCGCGCAGAGGCCTTCGATCTCGGACACCTGACATTCACCGAGCGCGGCCCACGAATCGCAGAGTGCCTACTCTGGCTTCGTCTTGTCGCCCCTGAGGCACTCGTGCATGCTTTGAGCAGAGACCGACCGTCCCAGCATTCCTATAGTCCTACCACGAAGTGTTTTTAGAACACAGATCTGTTCTCAGAACAAAAACGAGATTCTTAGAACATAAACCCGATGTGTTAAAATAAGACAGACTCCGCCAGAACTGTTCTAAGAACATTTCGTGGGAACCACAAACAGATCGTAGAACATTGTTTAGTAGGACTATAGGCACGCCAGGACGCTTCGCCACTGCTTGAGCACTCGTGCATGCCGCCCCCCCCCCCGCCCATTCGTGAGGGCACCGGCTGCTCGCTTCGAGCCCGCAGCCCGCGCCGGCCAGGCCCCAGGGCCTCCCCGGGAGGGGCAGCGGAAGCGCTCGGCCGGGGCCCCGCCACAGGATGCCACCGCCGACGACGACCGAGCAACGACGAGCACGACGGCCACGACGTCGTCGTCGTCGTCGTCGGCTCTCGGCACCCTCGTTTTCCTCCTCGTCGTTGCACCGCCGCTGCCGCCACCGACGACGACGCGGCTGCTGCTGCTGCTGTTGCTGCTGCTGCTGCGGACGACAAACACGACAGCAGCAACGTCGTCGTCGCTCTCGGACCACCGCCGCCGCCGACGACGACGACGATGATGATGATTGCTGCAATGATGATGATGATGATGATGATGATGATGATGATGATGATGATGATGATGATTGTTGCAATGATGATGATGATGATGATGATGCTGCTGATAATGATGATGATGAAGATGCCAATGCTGATGCTGATGTCGATGTGAAGGCGGTGATGATGCTGCTAATGGTGATGACTATGATGACTATGATGACTATGATGATGATGATCATGATGATGATGATGATGATGATGATGATGAAACATGCGGATGATGGTGTTGATGCTGCTGATGCTGACGATTATGATGATGGCAATGATAATGCTGATGATGGTGATGATGATAATGATGATGATGATGATGATGATGATGATGATGACGATTATGCTGCTGATGATGATACTGATGATGCTGATGATAACGATGATGATGCTGCTGCTGCTGCTGCTGATGATGATGATGATGACAAGAGCGACGGCGACGACCGCTCTTGGCATCCTCGTTTTCCTCAGCATCGTAAAACCGCCGCCGACGACGACGACGACGGCAACGAGGTCGTCGCCGCTCTCGGCATCCTTGTCGTGTTCCTCCTCGTCGTTGTCGCACCTCCGCGGCCACCTCCGCCGACGACGGCGTCGTCGCCGCTCTCGGCGTCCTCGAGTTCCTCTCGTCGTCGCACCGCCGCCGCCGCAGCCGCCGACGACGACCACGACGACAACGAGATCGTCGTCGCCGCTCTCGGCATCCTCGAGTTCCTCCTCGTCACCACACCACCGCCGCCGGCGACGCCGACGCCGACGACGACGACTTGGACTAAGGCGACAACGACGACGACGACGACGACGACAACGACGACGCCGACGGCAACGACGTCGTCATCATCGCCGCTCTCGTGGTTTGCCGTCATCATCGCCTCTCTCGTCGTTTGCCTCGTCGTCGCACCGCCAGGGCTCCTTCCTCGGACGGGCGCGGTCTTCCCCCGGCCTGATCCTCGTCGGAGCCCCCGCCCCCACCACTCCTCTTTCCCCCCCCCCCCTCCCCCCATTCCCCGCTCTCTCTGCTGCTCCTCCTGCTCCGATCCCCTCCCCCCGTCTCGTCCTCCCCTCCCTGCCTCCCTTTACCAGCCTCGAACGTATCCCTATCCCTAAGATTGGCACGCCAAAAGGCGATGACAATCTTAGGGATGCGCCCTC